CAAGCAAACAGTCCCCATTTAATCTACGAACCGGATTTAAGGTTATCAGATCCTATCTTCATCATGGAATTTTATCAACCAGCAGAAAGGACATAAATCAAATTTCCCCCTAGGCACTAGCTCTGGGTTTAACTTTTCTTCACAATTCATTTTCGTACAAAATCTTAAGAGTATAATAAAATTGTCTTCTAGATTGCTTATGCGATCTCCAACGGGGATCTAATTATATATTTGCGAGTTATCAGTACAGATTAACAAGTAAACCAAAGAGGACGCGGGGGGGGGGGGGGGGGGGGGGGATTACATACAAAATCCACACATACCATACTCAAATCAGCAATAAAAACAACAAATTTTGAAAGCAGCAACAGCTAATACGCATAAGAGAATCGAGATGGATTAATGGAGCAAAATGGAAGCAGTAGAAACCAAAAAAAAAATAAAAAAATCCAAGCTGATCTGGGGCAGAGACAAATATTTGGTGCATAAGATGTACACAACTCGATACATCTTTTTTCCATATTTGAAAAAAAATTCACCGCTTTTGAAATTTTTTTCCCCGCCACATTAAAAAAGTTTCTTCTTTTGGAAAAAAATGTACCCAATTAGATATATCTGATGCACCAAAAATTTATTCGAGGGGTAGGGCTTCCATAAGAATTTTAGAACTCCTATTGATACGAAATTTTTAAGTAGGCTATAGGTTGAAATTTTTGTAGTCTCCCCTCTGGTACGAAATTTGATTTGCTTAAATTTAATCATGTATGGGGCAGATTAATAATACCAACAACTGTTGATCTAGACAAAATGAATAGCCAGTGATAGTTTAGATTATGTTTATAGAGACAAAAAAGCTATTGTTTATCTAATACATTATCACCTAAAAGTAACTTTCTTCAATTTTACTTAAAATTATAAAGACACCAAATAAACTTACGGAAAACGTCTCTGTCTCCTTATCTATCGCCCTATATGAGCTGCATTTCAATTTTCTTCCCCCTCAAAAATCAAAATCCTTTCTTCCTATGGTTATATGGCCCTATGGCAGACCAGATTTAAACTATGTTTATATGGGGCAAAATACGAGAGCAAACAATTATGAAATATTAAAATAAATTGAGGAGAAGTTTTTAAAATTTGATATTTGATAATTGAGATTTTTTCCCCTCTTCACTTTTATCTTCATTTAATTAGGGGGGAGTTTTAAATTTTCAAAATTTCTTTCCTCTATGTTTTCTCAAGCTCAAACGAGGCCGGCCAGTTTTTTATTTCCCAACTTATTATGGTTGAATAAGATTAAAAAAAAGTAGAGTCTTAAGAAGTGCTAAACTTAGCAGACGTAAGAAACAAACATATGATGTCTTACTATGCTTACAAGTTATAACCATCTTCCCTCCCCCTCTCTCTCCCACTCCCACCCCAATGGCTACACGTTGCAACCGGATAATATGTTCCTAAAGCTATAGTGGCCAGTATAAACTGACAAGAATATTGCACTTAATGTCCAAAAGTTCTCCGAATTCAAAAGTTAAACATCAGTCAATTCTCTTATCATTTAAAATCATAACTTTCCAAGTGTTCCTAACAACTCTAACATTTATTTGTTAATTACTTTCACTCATTTACTTATTTCCAAATTGACCAAAGTTTTTTATTCCCACTAGAAGCTAGTTAGGTTTTTCTCTAGTCTGTCTCTATTTGGAGGAAATAAATACTACCAGCCAAGGGAGGCATTGCCAATTTCCATTATTTAATCAGCAATTCCTTAACACATATATCTCTTATTGAAAGGGGAATTGGATTGAGAGGAGGGTTGTTCCTAAATTGAGTTCAGAATAAGTTGAACTGGCAGTAACCTTGCAAGGCTCACGCTCTCAAAATAAGTGCAACACAACGTGAGATTAGTTATCCTACTTGATCATAAAATTTGTATTGTTGTAAAAATAAAATAACTAAGGCAAATCAGACTAGATAAGGAAAACTAACAGGAGAATTCAACAGACAACTCAACAGTCAGCCTAAGGATTTGTTTTGAGTTAAGAATGAATCTTTAACATAAATTATTAAGATTGAAAATCACGAACCTGATTAAAACACAATGACAAGGTAGAAGATTGAAGTCCAGAATCGCCAATCAACAAGTCTATCTCACCGCCTCAAAGAGAGCTCCCAACATTGTGTGACAGAAAGAGGATATAATCTTTAACTAGGAAGAAGCGGTTCTAGGAAATAATACCAAAAAAAAATAAAATCCAACAACCTCTAAATTAGAAGTAAACAATTTTAAATTATTGCCACTATCACCACTACACATTATCTGAATCCAAATATAGACTACAGGTTACTTAATCAAAGCCAGTGCACCATATTTGAATATTCTTAGATTATATTAGTGAAATGAATACATCCTTTCCATTTGTCAGGAAATGTTACCATAAACCTAAAGTAATCCTAGACTCAGTTCCCTTAGTCTCATACCATCCATGAATTCAAACTTTCTAACCAAACTAAACACACCTAAATGTCAGATTCCAAGAATTTTTAACTTTTAGTCGCTTATGCCATTTTTTAAAACTGTCTACGTCATGTTTTTTAGCAATTTTATATGGTTGGTCCCAAATCTAGATTTATGGTAGGCAGTCGAAAGCCAACATAAAACTTCGTTGAATGTTTAACTAAACGAAAGCAAGATGAACTAGAGAGAGAGAGAGAGAGAGAGAGAGAGAAAGAGAAACTGAATATTATTGATGTGTAAAATCATTTTCTGTGAATGTACACTGAGGTCACTATATAGACCTTCAGATTAAGCCTAATACACTGAGCTAGGTGGTTATGAGCTATCTAACTAACTCCTTAGAATCAGGAGCTGATTAACCAATTAATACAAGGGTGTGATCAGCTACTACACTGATGCACAGTAAGCTTTAACAGAAAGTAAGCTAAGCTAGCTATTCTCTAATAAACATGGATCAATGATACAACTATTGTTATTGTTATGCTTTCTGAAATAAACATATAGATATAATAATAATCGTACATCAATCCTAACACTATATTCTTTTTTTTTTCTTTTTTTTTTGAAAAGCTCCTAACACTATATTCTAACTCTTATATTCATGTATTTTTCCACTCCTATTTGATGGGCTGACAAACCATATACCAAATTTAATGAAAAATTGTTGTATCCCGGTATGGTTTTGGACATTTATACTCAAATCCATTTCCGTGCAAACTAACAAGATTAGCCTATAAGTTCGTTAAAAAATTAGTATCTTAAACCCAACATGGTTTAAATTTCCTAGTTACAAAATAATCATGTTAAAATCCAGTCAATTCAGTCACCAATCTGCCCTGTTGTCCTCTCTACATAACATATTAAGCTACCTCTTCCAGGGCCGAGCTTCATCAATGTATTGAGCTATTAATAGATAATATGGAATAGCTAGCTAATCGCCTCTTACTGTTCAATTGTGAGAGAAAGTGCCAAAATGCACATTCTTTTCTACTCGGTTCATCAATCAAAATTATTTTTTTCTTTATAGAAGCCAAAAATGGCCAAGTTTGTATTAATTATCAGACATTTTTGCTTTGATCATTTACTCCACGTTGACTGAAAGTGTAAAGGACCACTTTAACCCAAAACCTTAAGGCGTTGGATAAAGGCTTTTTTAATGGTTTATATTATTTTCTAACACACCCTCTCACGCAAGAGACCTTTAGGCTTGAAACTTGGATATTACACAGGCCCAATTTTTGGTTTACCTTGTGCTTATTTTAATTCCACTAAAAAATGGGGAGCGGTGAGAATCAAACTCGTGATCTTGTGGTCACTGAAGCTTTGATACCATATAAAGAATTATTTCAACTCAAAACCTTAAGGTGTTGGGTGAGGGTCTTTTAAATGATTTTATATTTTTTCTCTAACACACCCCTTCACACAAGAGCCCTTTGGGCTCGAAGTGTGGATATTGCACAGGCTCATTATGAAATTATGAAGTGTGGAAAGCAAAGTAAAGGCTGTTAAGCTCTTACATATTAGATGAAATTATGAAAGTACAAAGTACTAGCTACTCCAACAATCTAACAGAGTAAACAGCATCATCCCTCCTCCTGGCTCCTAGTCCATAGAAATTCTAGGATTTGTGTAGATACTATTGAAAATATTGGTCTAAGTAATTCTCCAAAGATTCCTATAATGGGATGATTCCACTCAAGTGGTTGAATCCCACGCCTTAAATTTTACAATTATGATGAAATTTAAGAACAATAGATGATACGCAACAATAGCTCAACCTTGCATCATTAGATATCCAGGACCCAATCAAAGTAGTCAAAGGTGTCACCAGATCCCCAATTGCCGTGAGGCAAGAGGTGGCGAAAAAGTACTCCCGATATGGGGAACAAAAGAAGAAAATTACAGGGAAAGGGCATTTTTGTAAGTAATTCAAAATTACAATGTGATTTAATCACTTAAAACCAAATTTAAATAAAATACTAATTATTCAAGATAAAGTATTATAAAAGGTCATAACTAGTTCAGTTCCGTAAATAAAAGATGTGGCAGCCAAAAAATTCATAGCAAAAAAACGTACATATTTCATTTACTAGTTTTCAACTTTTTTTCTGGGTGGATCTAGTTTTCTACGTTTAATTTTCTAAATGATGTACTATCCCTTTTATTTACTGCTTATTTCTTGATTTGTTTATTAAATAACAATTCATGTCTTCCCTTCTCAACATTAATTTGCTATTGAATTAACATAGTTGTATTCTTTACTTTTTTTAAGCAAATTTTCTGTTATTCTCAACAAATATAATCTCATTCTAAACCTTACCATTTTTTCTAATAAATTTGTTCACTTTTTCCTAATAAACTACTTCCTTAATTAAGAGAAATGGCTAAGGAAGTTGATATGATTCACACTTAGTACATTAGGTAAGAATGGGAGTAGCTAATGATAATTTCAGTGGAATAATTTAGAGAAGTGATTTCAGCTTGACTACACCATTCTTATATTTAAAAAAAAAATGTCAAAGAATGAGGGAGGGGAGGACTAAGCAATATGGTTTCATGCATCAACTGGGCAGGTCAGTTGCAACAAATTTATTTTTTTCTGTAATAAGAATCGTGGGAATCACCAAAGCAGCACAATTCCTGCACATTTCAAGTGATTGTAGCAAGATTCAGGCTGTTCGCTAATTAAATAGGCAATCTGGATCACCAAAACAAAATAGCCTAGAAGTTTGCTAGTGCAGCAAAGGCAAGTGCCCAATGGAAAGGGCCTTATCTGAAACATCAAAGCAAGTACCCTGTCAGCTTGCCTTAGCACCTTAAGTGCACCTTTGACATCATTGAAACCAATGTCTAATTACTTACGGCACTCGTGATGTAGGTATAGAGGAAATATAATTTTATAGACATGGAGTTTTTCTAAAAACTGAATGCAAACTGACTTCTAAACTATATTGTATAAAATAATTGAAAGAAAAATTCCTTAAAGTAGAGTGGGTTAAGTGGTATGGCTTTGTGGTTAATTTACAATACAGTAAAAATAAGCTACAGTAAAAACAAAATATTGGGCTTTTAGGAAAAATATGCAAGATACTGAAAGTGGAGATCCCCTTCCTATAATAGTATACATAGACTATAGATATAAGCACAGAATATTGGAAATTCCATAATGTTTATCAAGAAAAAATAACCAGGGAAAAACCTAAATAAAACCAGACTAGGACATTCAGTTACCATCAATGAACAGCCATCAATAGGAGGCTTCTAAGAAAGTCAAAAGATTGCCATCCATAGAAATTGTACTTATCAATAGCATGTAAACAACATATGCAGAATGGAATGACAGAAACCGTTAAGATAGAACCAAGGTTGACACAACTATTCTAGATATAAAGTAGGGATTCAAATTCAAAAGCCAACAAACTTAACTGCCACGTACTTCACATCTGAAAAACGTATCCTTTAACTTGATGGCAGCAACCTGAAATGACATGAATTGCATAGATAACTTCGAAAGTAGGAAATGGGTATGAAGTTGTTAAATGCAATAATACCATAGCAATACCTTTTGATGAAAACTGCAGGAGAGCATTTCAGATTTACAACAAACCACAACTACTCAATACTTATTTCCACGACCCTCAAAACCAGTATTCCTTGTCTTGTTTCCATCTTCAACTGAGGATTGTTCACTGGGTATTCTACAAAACAAAAGAAGCATGCGTTATGAAATAACATGGGTTTATCTCCTAAAGGAAAGCTTAACTTTTTTGAGAAGTATCAAGCGGGCAATAATGGCGACAACAAAAAAACCCTACAATTTCTGTTTCTTCGCATTTTGTTTGATTGTTTTAACTATATCCATGGCCATCTTCTGGTGCTCCCTTGTTTGAGAATGCAAATCCAAACCTTCAACCGTTTCACAGTCAACTTTACATATCCGGCACCACCCCATGCTAGCAGCCTTCCTTCTCCTCATATTATCCAACGACCTGATATCTCCCTGAAAAATGCAAAAGTAATATATTACACGTAAAATAAATAAAATAAATTAAAATCTCAAAACTACCTCTTGGGTATTGCAGTCAATTCATAAAGAAAACATCGCTATATTCCCCCCAGACCACATTCCATTGACTCAACTTCGAAGTCTTTAACTCTTACCTATATAATTATAATAACAAACAGAAATATGAATGTGTGGGTAATCAAAACTTAACTGTTAAAAATCCACCATCATTAGGAAATCCTGGAAGGGAAAAGCTGCTCCTGAACCCAGGCTCACCAAGCTGCGGATGACCGGCCCTGTTTCCTTTGCTGAAAGATTCAAAATTTCGAGAACCACCAAGTTCAACTGCTCGCATATGACCAGGATGGGGACCAAAACCAATAGGCTCTCCAAGCTGCAAATGTCTAGGAAAATTATGCGAACCCAAATGTTCACCCCTTCGAAAATGGCCAGCAAATTCGTCTTGACCGATGAAATCACCACTCCTTGGATGTTCCCCCATTCGAAAATTACGAAAACCCTCAAACTCATCTCTATGCAAATGCCTAGGCAGATGTGGAAACCGACTATCACGGAATGCAATGCCAACTGACTCACCAAAACGATGTGCAGCTCTGCCACCAAAATCATCTATATCCGACTTACTAACAAGACCACCGGAGAGTGGCCCCAATCTCCGGGGATTCATCTCAGCATATTCACTAACAGGACTCCTGGGAGCCATTCCATCCACATGATGTCTCCCATAACCAGGACCTAGTCCAGGATAACCTGTTTTCTTAAAGGCATCATCATGAAAACCAACCGGTCTCTTTCCAGCTTCATGTGGACCTAATGAATAATTTCCAAATTTAGAAACCGGATCAGCATCCAAAGGTGGCCTAGAGAATTTCTTGAGATCATCTTCAAACTCTCTTCGATCAATATTTTGTTGACTTGGAACCTGGAAAGATTTGAACCTTTCATCATGCAAACCAAAACCTTCAGGAGCATGTGGTGGTAAGTTGGCTGTTATTCCACTATGCATATCACCAGGAGGTGGTGCACCGAACTGTGGCCCGCCAAAACGAGACAAATTGGATGCTCCAGCATGGAAAGGAGGATCATGGACTTGGTTATGTGGCCCCGGGGGTCCAAGAGACTGAGGTTGAAAGTTTCGCCCTGGAGTATTAAACTGGATGTCAGAACCCTGCGGTTGCTTGAACATGGTTGGCTGAAAATTCTCTGTTAAGGGCTGTCCCGACTGAAGAGCATGGGCAGGTCCATGATTCCTGATAAGAGTTGAAGAGTGCCTCGCAGAAAGTGGCTGATTTGCTGCTGGATGTGGCAATTGTGATGCTAACATTGCAGAAGACTTCTGCTGGACAGCAGCAGGCCCATAATTTATCGTTGGTTGCTGAACAGCTGGTATTGGATTGTCAACACTAGAAGGAGGTCTTGGAATACATGTATCATCATTACGCAGTTTATCAGCCTCTGACTCAGAGAGATTTGTCTCTATCTTCAGCGGAGGTCCATCTTGAATCTCATTGCCTTGGACAACAGAATGCTCATTACTATCATTTTGAATCCCAGGCATTGTACTGCCTGATTTATTACCACTTAAAGGCTTCCAAGTGCTTTCAGCAGCCTCTCCCTTCCCAAGATTCTTATTCACTGAATCACCATTATCTAATGTATTGGCATTTGGGCCTAAAGTCTTCACAGAGTGTGGATCTTCACTATTTTGCTTATTCCCAATCTCAATTGGTTTCAAATCTGTTTCAACTTTTTCAGATTTCAACCCATTTCCTGATCCAGAAAGTGTGTCCAAATCCTTAAAAATTTTACCAAGCTTACCGGAGGCAGAGTCAGTTTGTTGCTCAACGACATCACCTTGCCTTTCAATCGGTTCTGGTACCCTAGATTCAGATTGTAGTCGATTATTGGTCCCAACCAACAAATTCTGATTTTCAGGCAGGTAGCTAGCACCATTTTGCCCTGGTCTAACTGGAATGGTATTGGCAGATTGTGCAAATGGCTGTTTGTGCCCTGCATGATTGGGATTTAAAGGCCTTCCTACAGCATTTTGAGATAGACTTTGCTGAGCGCTATTTGCTAGTGCAGTATTACCCTGTGACTGTGGATAACCATGCTTGGGAAAAGATTGTGCTGAACCTTGGGGTCGTAAATAAGATGCCATAGGCATCTGGTGTTGTGCAAATGGTTGCTGAGGCAATATTTGTTGACCTGGTTGCAAAATAGGACGTTGGTTGATTTGGCCAGGTTGTTGATTATGAGTATACACTGGCTGCTGTTGCAAAGAAGGGGTACTTTGGCCTTGAACAGGCTGTTGCTGATTAGGAAACATAGCATGTGATTGAGTTGGACGCATCATTGGGGTTTGCTGAGGAAACTGATTCTGCCCCTGGATAGGATGCTGGGCCTGGTGTTGAGGCCCACTTTGAGGATGCATGTGCATAGTATGTTGAGGGGCTCCCGGCTGCATATTCTGGTGAGGCAGAGGTTGGGGATACGAGTTATGACCTGTCACCGCATGTGACGATGCATTTTGCACTTGAGGCTGGACATTAGGAGTCAGGGGTTGATGAGGATGCATTTGGGGCTGGGAAAGATGTTGAACTGGAGCATTAGGTTGCAGTTGTGGATAAACTTGAGTTTGAGGAACAGGATACTTCTGAACTGATTGTTGAATTTGAGGCTGTGAATGCTGTGTTTGAGGATGAGGCTGCTGATAAGGAGGCATTTGCATATGTTGTTGGGGTTGAGGTTGGACAGATTGAGGCTGAACTTGTGGGTAAGGATAAGTCTGGGGCTGAGACTGAGGGAGAGCTTGACCGTGGCCTGGTGGGAGACTCATCTGACCATGTGGCTGTACAGCAGGTTGAAGCTGCTGTGGTTGTTGGTGAACTTGCATCTGAGCCTGTGGGGTCGCAGGAGCTGGAATATGTGAAAGCGGTTGAGACAGTCCTTGTGCCGGAGGCTGTGGTTGAAGTTGATGCTGAGATTGGTGTTGGGTTTGGGCCTGGGGCTGAGGTTGGGGTTGGGGTTGGGCCTGGGGCTGGGGTTGGGGCTGGCCATAGGCCTGCTGGTATTGTGGAACTACAGACTGTTGATAGGGGTAGTAATGTTGATACTGCTGTTGATATGGGTCTTGTCCAGGGTATTGCTGGTAGTATTGTTGATATTGTTGCTGCTGATACCATTGCTCTGCAGTTGGCTGCACAACAGTTTGAACTAAAGCTTGATTTTGAGAAGATGGGTTGGATAGCTGATTTGAAACCTGCCCAGGTGCAGTAGCTGTAGCAGCAGTTTGAGAAGTCAGAGCTTGTGAAGCCATTGCTCCAACAGGAGCAGCAGCCTGGTTTTGATCAGTAGAAGCAATAGTGGCAGCATTAGTGGCTGAAGGATCTTGGGTAATGGCCGCCTGTTGCACCTGACCTTGCACACCCTGCCAATCAATAATGGTTAGAACCAGCCTCCCAGAAATACATGGAAGGAATTAATATTTTACAAATGGCACATACAGGACAAGTTTGTGCGTGTTCTTGTACTTGGCGATGCACTATTTGGATCCCACACCTGTTGCAAACAACAGGAGAACTACCAAAAGCACATCCAGAACAATGAGATGTACACTCAGACAAAGTTCCTTGCCATGTGCATCCGCTCCTATGATATAGACAATGAACTGCTATTTTTCCAATAGTTTCAGCAAGTGTCTTATTTGACTCCGTCAGAGGCTGCAATTAAGACATGCAAATACAAATTCATAAATACATAGCAAAAAAAAAAAATGCATTGCACAGAAGCATTTTGGAATGAGCAGCAGGAAAAGAACCTTGGAATCCGCCTCAGTGACCAAGTAACCATCATACGGGCAAGCCCTAGTAGTGCTCACAACGTACGTCAAACACGGCTTGCAGTATAAATGAGTACATTGTGACTGCAAAGCTTCATTTGGAAACACAAGCAGGCGACAAACGGGACAGAAGTACTCTCCAGCAAGAGATTGAATATTCACTATGCACTCGTTATCAAATCCCATGTTGACCTTCAAGCAAGGCTTCAGCTCTGAGCATGAATTAAGACCTAAACACCGATTAATTCAATCTCTATTACTTACAGCACACTCTCACATATCTTAAACAACAACATTACATTGAAAAGGAAATATAATCGGAATGCGGAAATGACACAAAAGGTATGCACAAAGCATTGCATGTAAACAAAACACAAAACTGATCCAATATACATGTATGTGTGTGTGTGTGTTGAATCTACCGAACGATTATCAATGCAAAACGTAACGGAGATTCAGGTCCCAACTAAATCAAATATACAAAACCTAGAAGACTTCAGCAAATATTCGGTACCTGAATAATTCTTAACAGTGTTAGATTCGATTTTAAAACCAAAACCCCAACCGAACTATAACCTGTTATCTAAAACTAGATTACAAAAATAAAAATAAAAATCAGAGAGTAAAATATACAGAGGAGTTGTGAGAGATCATGTTATCTGATGAATGAAAATAAGATTAAAAAAACAAAGAGGAGGTTACCGATAACTTGAAGGCCCCGAGTATTGAGAGTTAGAGAGATATAAGCAAAACCTGAGAAATGAAATTCCTTGTATATTTATTAGCAAAGGGTAGCAGTGTAGCACCCTCCGCCCCCTGAAAGAAACGACCGCGTTGCACTTTTCTCCTGTATTTTATTTAATTAATTATTTTTAATTTTATTTTGTCATTTTATAAAAATAATTTTAATTCTTACAAATTTATAAATACAAAAGGTTTTTTTTTTCAAGAGAATAATTATTAAGATATAAGAGGAAAAATTAAGATTTTAAGTGAATCTCATTCTTGTTTAAAAAATTTATAAAATCATTTTCAGTCATTAATTTATCATACAACTCTTTGAAATGATTTTTTATAAAAATATTAATGCTTTTGAGGATTTTAAATATCAAATAAAATAAAAAACTATTATTAAGTGATTCCATAATTTTCCTTCTTTCTTGTCTTTTATTTTTTTTAAATTATATTTAGTATTTGATGAATACTAATTTAATTAATTACAAGTTAGTTTATTAACATTTTAAAAGATAATACACTGATCACCAAAATAAAATAAAATAAAATAATAATACACTAAGTTTTTTAGATAAAAGTGTCAATTTTGTCGGTCCTTCCTTTTCTTTTCTTTTCCCAAGCGTCCAACAAATTATTTTCTTTAGTTAGTATTATCATAATCATCATCAACATCAGAATATACTATTTTACCTTCTTCGACTTCCCTTTCCCATTTTGTGATTCTTCATCACTATTACCATCGTCGTCGTTGCTTGCGAAGAAATTTGAAGGTGATGCAGTGGTGTCAATGTCTCTTAATAGTAGATGTTTCACTCCACTATTAATCATTATCTTATCACTAATATCACTCCTTCCATTGTCATTTTGATATACATGTATGGTATGTAATTGAAGTTAATAAATGAATTGGTGAGGGCAAAGTTGCTCAGTTAAAGAGAGCTTTCAATGTGGGAAATGATTTTTTTAAGCAAATGATGACAATTCATGTGAAAAAGGCGTAATGTTTTTTCCATTTATAAATTAATTTTCCAAACAATAAATTCCATATATCATTTTTCATTATTCACAGGCAAAGTGACTCTTTTAATGTAAATTATAAATTATTTGATGACATTTTCAAACTATTTTATCATCTACTGTAATAAGTTTCGCACAGGAGATGTAGTCGTGCATGATGTGTGCATAACTATAACGTGTTTGTCTCATTAGGTCATGCCACGTAACACAATCATATCCGTTGATACACCTACTATCTAAGGGTATATATGTCCCACACTCGTTTATGAGTGATATGTCAAGGTAGGGTATGTAACACTCCGTGTGCACCTAATGTATTATCATCAATTGTGGCATTATACGCAAAAGGAAATCAGAGTGGTTAAAGCGGATATGCGAGTAAAATTTTTCTTTTCTTGTCAATACATCAAAGTAATTAATTATGGTAATTTAGATGACTTAATCGTTAGCCCTCATATTTTACAATATTAAAGTATACATTTTTGGGCTTTCCGAAAAGGTATAATATTAACAATTAGTTAAGTATAGTCCGGGTTACGCAACTTGCAATTTCGTCGCTCCAAACCGTACTTTTAAAAATAGAGCATCAACTTCAAAATGATACCAGTTTTTATCTACAAGTCCAATGGTCCTAAAATTTTGTATGGTTGTAGGTTTATGTGTTAGCTTAACATAGGTTCAAACCATGCCCGATTTGGAACTCTGTAGTTATGGCCATTTTACAAAAACACGTTCCTGTTGTTTCGGGTGAGCGCGCTTAAGCGCGCTCTTTGAGCCTAGTTTCTCCATTTTAGCGTGTTTTAGTGCGCATTAGAGCGCTCAACGACAGAGTAAATTTCACTTTCTGGTCATTTTTCGTGCTTTAGCGGGCATTAGGGCGCTTTAGCGTGCAACGACAAAAAATATTTCCATCTCCAGACCCCGTAACACATTTTAAAGCGCCAATGGCGCTTTAGCGTGCTTTCCAGGACAGGGGATGGTAATTTTGAGGTACTTAACCTCTATTGGAAGAACCAAAACCCCCATGAAGGTACCTAATACATATCCAACATATGATTCAACTTCAAACCATTCATCACATTCTAAAATAAGAAGCTATTCAATTGTACAAGAACTCATATGATTATACAATTATCCATAGCCTCAATTACATATCCAAAAAGTTACTCAAAATACATATCCAATAGTAACTTAATTACAATTCAAGTTTCACCATGCTTTTCCACAAAATATTCGTTTTGTCATAATTGCATGCATAATCAAAATACTAGCTAGAGCCTCCATCAAACGATACAAGTATGCAAGCATGTCAAAATATTCAAAATGAATGTGAAAGTATGCATCACTGCCTGAGCCTCCTACCTTGAGGTCTGTCTCCTGTATATCTATGAATCCTGAAAATAAATCCCACAAGGGGTGAGAGACAATCTCAGTAAACTCAAGGACCTTGGAGACTCCTTCAACCCCGAGCTCACTTGCATGTTATACAGGCATCAAAATAGCATATATCATTCAACATATAACAATTATACTGGATAAAGAACAATCTAGTCGAGCATAAGCGCAAGACCATCCAATCCAGTCAATCATAAACGTAAGATCATCCAATCCAGTTAAGCATAAGCACAAGACCAACCATAATACAATAAGATACATATACACCCAATTTTTACACCAATGTACATACATACTATGCAAACCACATCAACCCATGGGGTGTGGTGGAACAACAAGGGAAAAATTCTCCAAAATCTAAGAGTTTACGTTATACAAGTTACTTTTCAAGATCCTCTTGGCTCAAGTATCCCTTATCAACAATTCACAACCTTCCAACCTATAAACGAGTTGGATTTTCCATCAACCATCAATACAACAACGCAAAATTTATCCACCCACTTACCATTCATCAAGAACATGAGTTAAAAAGACTTACTCCAAGCTTATAATTTCTCAATAGCTTAACCCAAGGGGGTTTTCAACATTTCGTCACCATCAACAACAAGATTCCTACACAAAGCAACAAAGTTTCCAACATCAAGCCCACATTCTTATTCTTCAATTTCAGATTTCTCGAGATTACCTAAAGAAAACCCTAACCCCCAAGTCATGTAATCCACTTAAACTCAAGAAAACAACCCACAATGGTTATGGCTTACCTAAAGGCTCCTTTCTAGGGGATTTCTATCCTTCCAATATCTCAAAAACTTCCCTCCAAGACCCACAAAAATGAAGTGGGTTAGAGTTTGTGTCTTCTTCTTCTTTTAAGAACAACAAAGGGGGAGGGCGAGGGAAGGAGGATGGTGTTCACCCAATGAAGAGAAATGATGGATTAACACACTCCTCTCTTTTGCTTTCTCTCTTGGCCAATGATGGAGTGAAGAAGAAAATGAAGGTGGAAAGAGAGGGAGAGAGAGACGTGGAGGAGAAGAAGAGAATAGGAGGGAGACAGAGAGTAGTTAGGATAAATTATTTATATATTTTAAATATAAAGGGTGTAAAAGGACCGATTTGCACCTTGATTTCCTCCAATATTACTTAGTTCAGATCCAAACCATTTAGTTGGATTCAAATTGGGTCATTGAACTCATGTGTAACTTATTTAATTTCCTGGTCTCTCCCACTTTGTACAAATTACAATTAGGCTTTCTTCCAAATTTAACCTCTCTAATTACACATTAATTTTTTAATTATGAGATTTAATTATTAGGAATATTATAGGGTACACGGTAATCTCACATAAACTTACTATATTAGATTAGGAATATATGTCATCAATTTAATTATTTTTTAATTTGCATGTTACAATGGTCACTTTGTTGTCCATCGATAATTAAATTATAAAATTAACAAGTAAGAGATTAAATTAATAATTAGTGTATTTTTTATTTAAAGATTAAAAAAATTACTCTTGTTTACATTATTTCCTCGTACAATTCAAAGTAAGATAGAAGAGTTTGGAAGAAAAGAAAATAATAATTATCATTATTCTTAAATTTTAATAATTATAAAATATATAAAAATGAATATGAGGCAATGTAAAGGTCATGTAATAATCTTTATTATTGTCTCACTTTTTTGAATAACAAAATATTTACTTAAATTATTACAAAAAAAAATATTTACTTAAAATAAAAAAATTATTTATTTCTCTTCCAACTCCTTTATGATAATAGATTTTATTAATATTCGCAATCCATTCCCAAGAGTTATTAGATTGCTAGTTGGGTTGATTTTGATCTAGACTAAATTAATTAAGGGAAAATTGTTTCTGCAGTTACTGCAGATAAGTTATCTGCATTTATTCCCAAAACGACGTCGTTCTGTTATTGAAATCTTAAAAAATTATAAATATAAAGACTATTATAACCATGAAATAAATTAAAATTACAAAAATACCATGATTTTCGCCCTAAAACGACGTCGTATTGGGCTTACTACAGAAAAAGCAAACCCATTAATTAAACTTAATAATTTTAAATATTTTTTTATTTAAATCCAACCAAACTCATATAAATTCATTGTCTTCATTTTTTTCATTTATTAAGAGTATTTAATATATATTAGAGCTCGTTTTTTCTGCAGATAAGTTATCTGCAGTAAGCCTAATATGACGTCGTTTTGGAGAGAAAACCATGACGTTTTTGTAATTTTAATTTATTTCAGGGTTATTATTTTCTTTATAGGGGAAAAAGTTTATAATGTTACTTTAGACAACTTTCTCTAATGTTCACCAAAACGACGTCGTTTTGGGGTTGAAAAATCAAAAAATTAGAATGATAAAGACTATTATAACCGTGAAATAAATTTAAATTACAAACACACCGTGATTTCTACCCCAAAACGACGTCGTTTCGATGAAGTAACTTTAGAAAAAATAAACCCTTCTTTATAATTATAATTATTTAATTTTTCAATCAAGTCATTTTTTGGGAGTAAATTCAGATAACTTATCTGTAGTAACTGCAAAAATATTATTCTGTATAAATTATATATTGTTTTTTAAAAATTATTATAAAACAAAATCATCTTACTATAACTCGAAAAATAAAAACTGATAAAAAAATCCATTTTGATATAACTAATTAAATAAATAAAATTATTCAACTCATACCAACCTAATTATATTTAGGCTGGCTTGATTAGAGTTAATAAAAGAAAATTTTCTTATTCATATTTATTTAACTTAACTAGTTTTTTTAAGTTATGCCTCTTAACTTTAATTCTATTTTATCTTCTCTTGTCACTTTGGAAGTACATATTCTAGTTTGGCTGGTTTGATTATAGAGATAAACTTTTCTCATTTTGTAGGAAAAAATAAGTTATCTCCTACTCAAACAAAGACGTGGGGTCACCATTCCTTTTAAAAAATAAAAAATAAAAAAATATTTGACACAAAATTCAATGTGAGTGTAGGAAGTATTCCTTCTCTCCTATGAAAGGAGACAATCATTGCCCTTGATTATAACACAAATGAAAAAAAAAAGTGACAAAAAAGAGTTGCACGAAAAAAATTAGAGTCTACCTATCTTTTTTTTCCCTATCTTATTTACTTATATCTAATATCGTTATATCAAAATCTCAATCATTTTTCACTATTTTTAACTATGTTAGGAGATGAGTAAATGAAATAGGTATAAAAAATATAGACATAATATTCTAATAAAGAAACTAAGCAAAAATGATGGTAGAGAGGAAGAGGTATCACATGATTTACTAATTTCTATAATGTCTGATAAATTATAAAATATCCTTATATATATATATATATATATATATATATATATATATATATATATATATATATATGAGGTAGGATCCTTTGACACCAGTGTCAAATTTGAAGTTTGACACCTCATCTGACGGCCGTTAGATAAAAAAAGATCAATGGCATCACATGCTTACAAATCAGAGTCGTTGATCTTTTTTGATCTAACGACCCTCATATGAGGTGTCAAACTTCGAATTTGACACCGGTGTCAAAGGATCCTACCTATATATATATATATATATATATATATATATATATATATTTGTTTTTTCCCATTCAATGTAGATAAATTCTCTATATTGAGCCCAAAATGACGCCGGTGGAAATCAAAATATTTTTGTAATTGTAATTTATTTTAGGGTTATAAAGTCTTTTATTATAATTTTTTAATTTTTCAACTCAAAACAACATTATTTTGGAAATAAGTGTAGATAATTTATCTATATTTACCGTAGAAACATTAAAGCTTATATATATATATATTTATAAAAAAATTTCCTATATAATATGGGGAAGAATATACTTACCATAAAAAAAGTTTATCACTTTTACAATCAAATTAATCACCATTGATTTCTGTCAATTTAATGGTTATACTTTATTGGAAATTACTGGATTGTACTTATTAATTAATTATTAATTTTTAATAAATTATAACCGTTAGATTAACTGAAATCAACAGTGTTTAGATTCGTTATAAGAGTGATAAACTGTTTTGGTGATAAATATATCCTCCCCGTATAATATATAGGATATTTACAAAAGAAATTATATATGCGGAATGCTTCGAATTAATTTCCTGGATAAGGTACAGTCAAACTTTCCCTTCTGTTCCCAATTCATTCTGTGAACGAATCCAGCGCCGGCACAAGTTTCTTTTCCTTCAGGTAGATGCTATTTTCTTTATGTTTGCACCAAATGCCAGTTGATAATATACATGGCATACAATGTCATGCTCTGCATATCTTTTGTTCGATAAAATGTCTCCCTTAAATTAGATGCATCACCAGCTTTATCACCATTGGTGTTGTTTATTTTACCTCATAAGCGTGAAATGTCTCTTGCCATGTATTTTGTTCCAAGTTCTATACATATATGTGTCTTTTACATATTGTTGTGTATGTCTGTATGAGTTTTACAGTATAAGTCATAAGAGATGGTTTCACTTGATGGATAGGTAGCAGGTAGACCATACCATGGTTTGCTAAAAGGGATGATGAAGTTTGCAGGATATTCCCGACCCGTTTCATTTTCTCCTATAAATTTTAATGTCATTAGAAACAGTTCCAGATTCCCTCTAGGTAGGAATTTGAGCAGCTCAAGGTTCTTTTCTGCTTATGCTCTGAAAGATCAATCAAATGATAAAACTTCAGTGGTTGCCAAATACTATCTTCCTCCTTGGTTTAGGTGAGTGCCTGATGTCTCTGCAGTTTTTTTGGTCTCTAAGAATCTTAGCACAACTGTTAGTGTTGTCATCATATGACTTCGGAGGTCACATGTTCCAATCATGTAATCAGCCTCCTCTTGCAAATGCTATTTGCAAGGTAAGGCTTTTTATTATAGAGTCACACAATGGGTCTCACCTTTTCCTCTGCTTGGGGGAACTTTTATTGCACCAGGTTGCATTTTTCTTTCTTGTTATCTACTTCGTATCTGCTTGTGCTATAAGTATACTGATTTTATCAACCTGGTTTGGACTTGTCTTTTGTTGGTTGAATTTCAGTGTTGCTCCAATGATGGACTGGACAGACAATCACTATAGGACTCTAGCTCGCCTCATATCAAAACACGCTTGGCTGTACACCGAGATGGTTGCAGCTGAGACAATTGTTTATCAAAAGGACAATCTGGTAAGTTTAAATATATAAGTCTGCTTGTTAACATAAAATAGGAAATGAAAAAAAAGGGACTATGTAGCTAAAAGGGTTTTTCTCATGTGAATAACTAAAATCACGATTACAAATTTTGTAGCATTCTCTGAGTTTTCTTCGGTAAAATATATTTCATAACTTGTAATGATTGAATTCTCCTCTAGAAGTCGATTGTTTATCTCATAGCTGCGGGCATATCGCATATGTGTGTGCACAAGAGCACAAATTAATGGAATGGTATTCAATGCTATCATTTCTGGATAAATTGGTATTGAAAAACCATTTATTCTTTTATTCTGTCTATTCTGCTCAGGACAGATTCTTGGCATATTCTCCGGACCAACATCCTATTGTGCTTCAAATTGGAGGTAGTAAAATAGAAAAATTAGCAAAAGCAACTGAACTTGCTAATGCTTATTGCTATGACGAGATCAACTTAAAGTTCGTATATTTCCTACCACCTTAAATTTTAAAGTTTCGTTGTTTCTACTATTGTTCTCTGATGATGACTTTTTTGAAAACATATACCAGCTGCGGATGCCCTAGTCCAAAAGTAGCTGGACATGGGTGCTTTGGTGTGAGTCTCATGCTTGAACCAGAGGTTAGAAAATCATCCTTAATTAAATATGGTGACATGCAAACAGATTGAATGTATAATTTTTTTTGTCAATGTGCATTGATATAGAAATCTATTGTATACATGGAAAGTTTGTTGCTGAGGCTATGTCAGCAATTGCTGCCAGTACAAATGTACCTGTTAGTGTCAAATGCCGAATCGGTGTGGACGATCATGATTCTTACAGTGAGCTGTGTAAGTTCCTTCTTTATTCATTTTTTCTCTACTCAAGTTGAAAGGCTGTGAAGTTGGATTCAATGAATAGGTTCCATTCTCCTGCTTAAAAAATTTATGCAGAAATCGTATTACAGTACACCGGATATATGTTAGTGTCTGCTATATTTCATAAGTTTTTGCAACTAAACTGTGCTAAAACAGTGTCTTGCTTTTAGAATACACTCGAAAGGGGTATTCAGTTGATTAGGTACATGGTGGGTGTTTATCATATCAAAATCACTTGATTGCTGTTGCCATTAACTTGAATTTTCTACTTAATTGATGGTAGCCAAATTGTGACATGCTGATAGGAGTCAGGAATCTTCATGTATGAAATCATGATTGCTATAGTAACAATGGTTGCAGAGTTTTGAATTTGGTTGCTAACCATTACTGAAAGCAAATAACATATCACATATGGATAGATTATAGAGATGTTCAGAATCTAACGGAAAATATTTGTGATGGAGTTTTTGGGACCACCTTTTTCTTCTTCTTTTGTTGCTACTACTTATTAGGCTTGCAGTTTCACGTGTCTCTATTTATTTGTCTTTTAGGTATCAAATTGAAAGAAATATTTTTGTATTATGAAATTGTAAATTATCTGTACAAGAGTTCTCTATTTAAAGAGAATAAAGAAACCTAATGGGCTAAGCCCAAATAATGACTATTACAGAATTACAAAATAATAAAAATAATTCTATATAATTCTAGAATTTACAATACTCCCCTCAAGCTGAGGAATGGATATTTATCATTCCCAGCTTGCTAGTAAGCTCTTGAAACCTATCATCAGGAAGACCCTTAGTCAAGACATCAACCAATTGACAACTAGACGGAATATATGGAGTAGTGATTAGTCCACTGTCCAGTTTCTCCTTGATGAAGTGGCGATCAATCTCAATATGTTTGGTGCGGTCATGTTGGACTGGATTGTGGGCTATACAGATAGCTGACTTGTTATCACAGAGTAACTTCATAGGCCCTTCACACCTCACATTTAGATCATCTAGAATGATTTTAAGCCATAATAACTCACAGATACCTTGAGCCATGGCTCGAAATTCTACTTCTGCACTCAACCTAGCAACCACATTCTGCTTTTTACTTCTCCATGTTATGAGATTTCCACAGAGAAACATACAATAGCCTGAGGTAGACCGTCGGTTAGTTACGGATCCAACATAATCTGCGTTTGTATACACTTCTAAGGATAAGTTTCCTCCTCTCTGAAATAATAGTCATATATAAAGAGCCCTGCTTGGTAGAAAAAATCTTGTTCCTTAGATCATAGCAAGTGGCAGCATCTTGTTTCATTGAATAGGCCTGATGAAGAATTTTCCAGATCTCAAAAGCAGTAGGTAAGAACATACAATATTGACTAACTTCAGGAGTCATAGAATTCCATAGCCATGTCATAATAAGAGAGTCTTCATCATCCCAATAAGCAAATTTTGGATCTGTTTTGGCAATAACAGGTCCTTCAAGATGAGCAATCTTACGACGCCCTTTGAGAATTGTACGAACCAGCTGAGACCACTGCAAATAATTTTTTCCATTGAGACGATAATTCTAATGGAGAGCAGGCAGATCGTTTGGACTAAGAGAAGCAGCCATAGAGGATGTAGCAGGCTGAATTATCGGAGTATCAGGCTGAATTTTCGAATTATCTTCAACGTCAGACATAAAATTTGCTAAAAACAGACTGATCAGAATGATAAAGGTCCAATGTTACTGGAATAGTACCCAGGAGGCCGGAACAGGAACAAACCTGGCCGGAATAGTAACAAGTGGCCGGAACAGTGACGAACAGAGGAAGAAACACCGTGGGAAGGCTGCAACGGGATCAAAACCTCAATATAACCACAGATCCACACTCAGAAGGATGGGGCGAGTTGGTCTGTGTTGGCCGCGCGTGAAGCGGGTGGCCCACGCGCCTCCAAGCGCCGCTGCAGCTCCGGGAACAACGCGTCTCTTCCACGCGTGTGAGAGCGCGTCTGGTCAGATCTCCAGGTGGGTCCTGGACAGAAGAGCTCGTCTCTTCGTGGCGGTCACAATCTTTGGTGGATTGCCGGAAAAATCGTCGGAAAAATTGCGGAGACGGTGGTCAACGGCGGTCTTTCAATGAGAACAGTGATCGGAGCGTCGAACGATGATCCTCTCGGTCCAAAAGGTCCCCGGAAATATTTTCCGATGGCGGCTAATGGCAGCGAGAGGCGAAAAATAAGGATTCCTCCTTTAAAGGTGTAGATGCGGAAGCAGAGCCCTCAGAATCGAGAGCTCTGATACCAAATTGAAAGAAATATTTTTGTATTATGAAATTGTAAATTATCTGTACAAGAGTTCTCTATTTAAAGAGAATAAAGAAACCTAATGGGCTAAGCTCAAATATTGACTATTACAGAATTACAAAATAATAAAAATAATTCTATATAATTCTAGAATTTACAATATATCATGCTTCTATGTTTAAGAAGATCGGATATAATAGGAACTTAAGTTTTCATTTATGCCAGTCTTAAATCATTCCTGTTTTGGTTTCTTCCACCTATGGTCTTTATCTTAATAACTCAACAGAAGAAGGAAACATTTGTTTTTGTGGTAAAATATGGGAAAAAATCACATTGCTTTATCTAAATTTTGCCCTTAAATTGAACCTGTCACGCTTTTCTATATCTAATACTGCAGATTACAAGTTTAAGCACAGTCTAGTTTAGCAATTTATACTTTTCTACTCCTTGTTACATGGAATTTATTTAGTATTCTGGGTTTCATTAGCATCAGCAAGATGGACGCTTTGATGCTATTGTCCTAAAGCTTAATGGATCTCTAATTCTACATTGTACATTGCAATTGATGTGATTTAGATCTTATTTTATAATTTCTTCTATAAAATATTTGTGCCATGGTTTTGGGTTACATATTGAAACTTTCTGTTGTGTGCCAGGTGATTTCATATATAAGGTTTCTTCTCTTTCACCAACTAAGCATTTCATAATTCACTCAAGGAAGGCGCTGCTCAATGGCATTAGCCCAGCTGAAAATAGGACGATTCCTCCTCTAAGGTATGTGCTAGTAAAATTTAATTTTTGTAGTCATATTATATATGGAATTGCAGATGATACGTCATGTTTTTTTAATGCAGATATGAATACTTTTATGGCCTCTTACGCGATTTTCCCGACTTAACATTTACAATCAATGGTGGCATTACTAATGTTGATGAGGTGAGCTGTTGTCATGGTAATCATTCTTTGTGTATTGAAACCTGATATTCATATGAATTTTCAGAATGTCTGGCACTAAAACTGTTCTCCTATAATCGTTTCATATTGTTCTGATGCTTCTACCTTTGCCTGTTTTCATGGGGACTTTGATTGTAGGTCAATGCAGCTCGAGAAGCTGGGGCTCATGGTGTTATGGTTGGACGTGCAGCATACAATAAGTTAAGTGTCAAATACAAAAATTTACTGCTTTTGTCCATTTGATGTCTCAAGCAATAAGTTTCTTAGTTTCAAATATCAGGATTCTGCTTTTTAATGAAAGGGGGGAAAAACCATCCTAAAAGCTTAAGATGTTAAAATGTTAGGTGGGGCACAGAAATTGTTTCATGTCTACAACAATGCTTTGTTGATTGAACCTTCTTAATAATGTTTGTATAAATTGCTATGTGGTGGCTGGAATAACCATTGTTGATAATCTCAACAGCCCTTGGCATATTTTGGGACATGTTGATACTGCAATTTACGGTGCACCGAGCTGTGGTCTTACACGTCGTCAGGTTCATTTACAGAATGTTTGGCTTTCCATGGATTCATCTGCACCAATTGTTAGAGTTAACTTTCACATTTGTCAGTGTTTACCATTTTTTGTTTTAATTATTTGTTTCTCATTTAATCAAGGTCCTTGAAAAATATCAAGTCTATGGGGACTCGGTGTTGGGTAAATATGGACATAAACCAACTGTGCGAGATATTGTGAAGGTTGGGATAAGTATTTCCCTCAGTTAGTTGATTTGCCAATTTTTTACTTTCTAAAATTCACTGGAATTTCCTGTGTAGCGCTGTATGTAGTATAGAATAGCTGATATTTAATACTCTTTTATATGTAGATGTAACTTCAAGTAGTTTTACGGTACATACACATTTTTTGATTTCTTGCAGTTCAATGCCTGGACTCTATGAGGAGTTCCTATTTTATTTTAGGATTTAGAAGGTTGGATGGTTTTTTCCTCCTCCTTCCTACCATTTGCATGAAGCAAGTTATATATCTATTAATGATACTACTGAATTTTCTACCTCCAATCTGCTGCTATTATATGGCTATCGTCTGTTGTATTGCTGCAGCCTTTGCTCAATCTTTTCCATTCGGCACCTGGGAATGGACTTTGGAAGCGCAAAGCTGATGCTGCTTTCAAAAATTGCACGGTATGATTACTTTGGGGAAACCTAATTAGTTGAGTACTTAGAAGAGAATTTCATTTATATTGTATTAGACTTAAGATGAAATTACCAGCGTACTGAATATATAAACTTCTTAATTTACTGTTCTTTTTTGTGATTTCTATTTTATGGGTGGTACGGCACATGGTGTGGTGGTGTGGCAAATCCATCAACATCCTTCCATCTTGTATTAGTAGAACCCTTCTTTCCTGTAGCTTTCATGGGGATGTCTCCATTTCTCCAGTAAATTTAAAAAGGATGTTTTGAAAATAAAAAGTTCCTTGAGAATACGTATATGATATTAGTTACATTATTAGATTAGAAATAGATACGGATAGATTGTACTAAAACAAAATTGCAGAAATAGATAGAGAGACAGATTATCCCTGAAATTAATGACTACTGTGGAGAATGAGATTGACGCCAAAAGAAGTATGGATATTGTGATAATTTGTTCTGCTATGGAAATTAAGGACGTAAATGTACTCAGATAGCTAGTTCCTTCTTTCTCTTTTATATATATATAGTACTTAACAAACAGATATTGGATTAGTTAGTTTTTTTTTGGGTTGCATAATTTGATTACTATTAACTTTCCTTTTATAACTTCAGTCACTATATTAATTGATTCAAATGCTAACTGAATTCTTGAACCATGTAGACAATGGAATCATTTTTTGAAGAAACCCTTGTAGCAATTCCTGACTCAGTATTGGATTCACCAGTTGCGGAACCACCACCTGGCCGTGGACATCTTTTTGCTGACATAGACAATTTACTGCCTCCTCCATACAAAACAAGAGAAGAGGTAGCTGCTATATGCGCTTAGGTTCACGTGTACTCTACTAAACTAAGTTGTAGTGGTCGCCATTTTTTTCTTGAAATGAAGAGATAGGTACCATGTAAAAGCTCCCATTAATACAATATAAATGCATCCCTTATCTTTTTGTAAGCATTTGTGTTTGAAACGTTATCAATTCGATGTAAAAGCTTTAACCACAAAATAGGGGATTGCAATTCTGTGTGGCGTTTGCTTTAGCTGGTGTTACTGGCTGTGGAATCTTGTATCGGGGTGTTAGAACTGTTTGGTAAAAAGTTGGATGGCTCATATTACTCTCTATCAGATAATACCAACCCTGACCACGGAAAAAAAAGAAAAAGGAAAAGAGAAAAGAGAGGTATACCATATATTATTTTAGAGATAGGTTATAGTTATAATTTTTTTTTCCTTACATATTCTTATAGTTATGTTTTATCGCATATCATAATTAAATCAATAATTCTCATTTGATATTACTTTGTCACTGTTGATTAAGTTTTAATTTAATAATATAAAAATAATTATAAGAAATTGTTAAGATACAAAATTACAAGTACAACCTTATTTTTCTGATCCTCCTTATCTGCGATTCATAAAAGGGACATTATACGTCTCAGAGCCACTAGTTCCAGAGGATCAATTATTCAACGTGGCAATATTTTGTTGGTCATTTCATCAATGAGATAAGATATTGGATGGCCCTACTCATTTGTGATTTACATTCCATATAATCTTTTATCCAACATAACAACACACAACATAGAAGAACTAGTTTTGGTTTGGGGAATAGTTCAGTGTTCAGATTACATTGCAGAGATGGCATCAATAACCATGACAGCCTCATTCCTTGGTAGCTCAGCCCTCACCAACCGGTCTACGGTGGCAACCCAAAGGAGGCTTGTGGTGGCAAATGCTGCCAGAGCAGTTGAAGGAGAGAAGGTGAAACTCAGTTATGAGAGTGACAAAGAGGGTAGCAATGGAAGGAGGAACATGATGTTTGCTGCAGCAGCAGCAGCTGTTTGTTCTGTTGCTGGGATAGCTTTGGCAGATGAGCCCAAACGTGGTACCCCAGAAGCTAAGAAAATCTATGCCCCTGTTTGTGTCACCATGCCAACAGCTAGGATTTGTCGTAAGTAAGGTCCTTAGGATTTCGTTATTTCCTATGAAAAGAACAATGGGGATGTAATGTTTTGATTTCATGTGATGATCCTTTCTGTCTCTCTGTACTAGTTGTTCGTGAAACAATCAACTTTGCCTTATCTGTTTAGTTTAATGCTCGACCAACGAAGATGGATAGTTAAAATTTTAGCATCTGTTTTTTTTTTTTCCCCTTTTGATCAAAGACGAAATATTCGAGTTGCAGCATACAAAAACAAAATCTGTCTTTAAAACACGCTTCTAAAATTTAAACTTTTTTCTAAACACATTCAGTTCTTTTTGTAAATTCGACCTAACCATCTCTAATGACACTAAAATTTATAAAACAGAGTACTTAGTATTTAAACACTGTATTCAAATAATTTACATCCATAAAGTTTCAAATTAATATAAGTACTTGCAACTTAGAAGAATTTTATTGAACAAAATCTCACGAATAATGGAAAAATAAATCATTTGAATTTTGTGTTTTGTTTTCCAACGAGATTTTATCTTTTGGATATAATTCTTCAGCAAAGAATAAACTGACTATGTTCAGCTATGATGCACGTACACGTACGCGGGACACGACACGACTATGTTCATACACGACTATGTTCAGCTATGATGCATGTCCGTGTAACAGAGATGTTGAGAGCCTCCGTGCCGAAATTTTTTTCAGTGATCCAGGACCATCAACAATTGGATGGTCCATTTGAAAAATTTGGAACATAAATAAAAATATAAATGAAAGATATGAGTAAAATGGAAGAAATAATTTTTCTCCCCGCCAGTTTCTACGATGCAATCGTGCTCCTTTTAAACATTTAACATCAAGTTCAATTTGATCAATGAGTACGGTTTCTGAGCTAATTTCGCAGTTGAATAACTCTGTTAATAGGAAATGGATCCTGCAAAAAAAAATATGATATGGTCATTTGGGAAGATCACAATCATACAAAAGTAAATTAACGGTTATAATTTCGTAACTACTTATTTTATTATTTTTTTTCTCTTCTCCTTTTTTACCATTGATCCACCTTTGTATGGTTATGATTTTCCACATTATATGATTATGTGAATTTTTAATGTTCCACATCCCTATTAATATTGATTCCTTCCACTAAGAAACTTATTGTTCTTCATTTTCATTAATAACATAACTGGAAACAAAGGGACAACTGCTGGAGAGGAAGTACATGTAATAAATATAATCGGACTTTATATGTAATTAGAAATTTTATTTATTATGAAAATCTGCATTATATTTTTTTAAAGATTCAATATTAATAAATACTTATTGAAGTGAATTACAATTATATAATAAAAATTAATAAGCATTTGAAGACAGTTATAATTGAAAGAAAAAATATATTTTATCATTATTTTTGAAAAAAGTAATAATATATATTTTTCAATTTATATTTTTATATTTGATGTCAGCCAATAATATCAATAATATAATGAGAAGTTGATGAATAGCTTAGTTTTTTTTTCTTTTTTTTTTATGTTTGTATCTTCATTAATAATGATAGGTAGTTTAGAAAGAAAATGACAAAACAGAAATTCCTTATATATATATATATATATATATATATATATATATATATATAATTTTAAACTGTAAGAACTTATTTCAAATATAAAAACAATTTTTAACAATTTTTTTCTAACGAAAAAAATTCACTAATAGTTTATGGGCATTATTTTTTTGCAGCTGTAGCAGAGCGAAAAATTTACGATATTACTGTTACACCATTGACTTAGTGCGATGAGCCGATTAAAGTGGAGTATTTTTTGTGATGTTCAAAAAGATAGAATTTTTTTTAATCTTGAATGTCAATTTTTTAACGGAAGTGAAGTGTATCGAAGATGCTCTCGTGGTAGAAAAGTAATGTCGGCATCGGCAACAGAGACATTCCTTTTGAAAAAAGTAGGAGCCACCAATGCAAGAAAAAAAAAAACATTTGTCTATAAAATACATTATATTATATGTGGCATAAAACTCTTTTACAATAAAAACAAAAATAATTTTAAGATAGTTTATGAAAAAAGTGTGTATCTTTTAAAAAGATGTAAAATTGTGTCATTTTAAGTGATAAAAAATAAAGGAAGAAAAAGAGTGGATAAAAAAATATAAAGATGTGGCCCACCTCTCCACCTCTTTGTGAGAGTGAAATGACACGAGTTGTGTTATTTAAAAGGATAAACACTTTTCCCATTGTTTATACATAATGAAATTCATAAATTAAAGAAAAATGTTTGTCATTCTAAATGACATAAAATTATGTCATTTTAAGAGAGAGATAGACACAAGAAAATAATTTTTTATTTAAAATCTAAAATAAAAAAAAACCATCTACTTTCTCTCCCATGATTTTCATTCATTGTGTCGATCTCTCTTAAAATTAAAATGTCAAACACCAAACTCTAAATTAAAATAGGGAAAACATTTTCTTCTTTAAAAGGAGAAATTTTTTCTCTTTCTAATGATTCATAGTATAAGTGGGGTCTACAAAATAGTAAAGAGAAAAAAAAATTTAAGGTGAGATCCACTTATGCTATGGAGAAAGATTTTTTCATTTAAAAGGAAAAAATGTTTTCCCATTAAAATAAAGGAAATATTTTTCTTATGTTGTAGAGAGTGATTACCTCATGTTATAATTGTTGTTAAAATCTCGATTTATCATTATAATTTTACGTTTTTACGATTTTTTTCATCAAAATGATTTTACCAATATTTTGAACGCTTTTACGATTTTTTTACATTACGATTTTATGTTTTACGATTTTTTAACCCCCTTCCGATTTTATTTAAAATCTCGATTTTAACAACATTGCATGTTATCGAAATAAAATTACAAGTGATACCCATACGCTATGTAGCACTGATACCGACACGGGACACGTGACACGATACGACACGACACTCCGCCACATTAATTCTAAAAAATGTTAGATTTCAACACGTTAGGACACGTTTTGATATTAAATAATATTTTTAATTTATGTAGTATATATTATATTTAATATTCAATAATTGAAAAAAAAATGAATCTAAACTTATAATATTCATAAATTTTGGAAAGAAATATAAGATATCTCAAATATTTATATTAAACTCAATAAAATGGTAATCGTAATTCAACGAATCTAATAGTTGGAACTAAAAACTCAATGCAACGTAACCTTTGAACCTTTTTTTAAATTTCTATAACGCTTGTTGGAGTGTCGGGAAGTGTCGGACACGACACGTCAGGATTTTTGAAGTGTCGGTGCTTCATAGCCCATAAGTAATAGGAGAGAGAAAAAAAGAGTGATGAGACTCACCTCTTTTTATGTGTAGAAAAATTATTTATATTATATAAAATGAGATAAACATAACACTTAAAATAATTAGATATTTTCCTTATAATAACAAACTTGGTAGTAAAGATCGGCTACGAAATACAAACAAAACGTTGCTTGATTTCTCCGTTTAGAGAGAGAGAGGATTGAGTTGTCCTGGCTTGAGATTATAAAATCCCTTTCTATTCCTTCACTTGTTTTCGTTCTTGTTCACTTCACAAACCTGATTATTGATGGCAACGCCAACGGACACAGATTGGAGTTCCCAAACGAACTGGACCGTTGCCTCCGGTTCTCTCCGTAACTGCCTCACCTTCGAATCCTCACTCTCTTCCTTCGACGATGAAGCTTCCACCTCCGAATCCTCTCCTCTTATTCTTCACCCTCCCTCACCCGATTCTGCTCCTTGCGAGATCAAGAGTAAGTTTTCTCAACTTCAACAATTTCACTTCTACACTCTGCTCTCACTTCTACACTCATGATTCTAGAAAGATCTGTTTTGAATCTTCACATTTCCTGTAATAATCGATGAGTTATTGAATTGTAGTTAATTTTGCTGAGAAACATGAGCTTAGACAAGTCTACGTTCGAAGCACGGCTCGAGTGTATGAGATTTACTCTGCACTCGACCTTCAAAGCAACGACGATTATCTCTGTACCGTTCGATGTGGTGTCGCTGCTAGAGATGGTGAAGTTCTTCGTCCTCCTAATATTCAAGAAATTGATTCTTTAACTAACAAAGATTATGGTGACGATAATGTGAAAAATGAAGATGATTGGGTTGAAGTCAAAGTTGTTGATACTCCTGTGCAAACAAAACCCTACATCGACTCAACCAAAACCACTCAGGTATGCAGATTCCATTGTCTTGGATTATAAAGTGAGAAAGAAACAAGGGATGTTCTCTGCAAGATCATAACATAATCGTTGCATTAGCATCAATTTAGTAAATGATTTGTTCTTTTTCCTTACTTTTAGAAATGATTGTATCATGCCAGTGTAATATTGAATTTATGATTTCAAGGTCATGTTTTCCTGTTTACCAGGATCTTTATGAGGCTACGGCAGAGGTTAATGACGCGAATCCTTGCATTTCTGTTACACTTCGTCTGCTCTCGCTTCAGAATAAAGGATGCGTTTGTGTTGATGAGATTTATGTGTTTGGTGATCCTGTGGATTCAGCTGATTTAGAAAGCCAAGAAAGTCGTAATGAAAACTCATCTGGCAGTTCTCTCATGGCTATGTTTCTTCCGACTATAATGCAATTATCTAAGACAACAGGTCTAGGCCATTTGAATGCTGTTAGAAAGGAAAAACAATATGTTTTGGAGGATGATAAGGAAGAAACCCACCTTAGTGATTCTGTAGTTAAAACACAGCTGAAAGGAAAAGATAGCATAACTGATCCTCAAGAAGTGAGTTTGAAAGAGGTGAAAGGAGGTTGGGCGCGTCCATCCCAGGTAGACGCACTCTCACAAGTTGCTAAAGTGGAGAGCGAACATGCTGCTGTACCCTCACAAGCCGCTAAAATTGAGAGCAATTGCAGTGTTGTACCCTCAAAAATTGCTGAAACGGAGAACAATCATGGTTCTGTTCCTGTTCGAATTGCTGAAACGGAGTGCTATAATAGTGCTGTTCCCTCGCAAGTTGCTATTACTGAGAGCAATCATGGTGATTCTTTGGGTGGCAATGTTGAAAGGGCCCTGGGACAGCTTCTATCACGAATGGACCGGATAGAAGAAATCTGTTTGGGCTTTCAAGAGAAAATGGTAATGCCCATGAACAGCATCGAGGCAAGACTCCAGCGAGTTGAGCAGCAACTTGATACACTGACTAAGAAAGTGCAGAATTCTGCATTGCCATCATGTTCTAGAATTTCTGCTCCTGATGCTTCTTGTATTGAATCAGATGCCAACTCCTCAGACAATTGTCTTGATCATGCTTTCTCTGAGCAGCAACTTGATACACTGACTAATAAAGTGCAGAATTCTGCATTGCCATCATGTTCTAGAATTTCTGCTCCTGATGCTTCTTGTATTGAATCAGATGCCAACTCCTCAGACAATTGTCTTGATCATGCTTTCTCTGAGCAGCAACTTGATACACTGACTAATAAAGTGCTGAATTCTGCATTGCCATCATGTTCTAGAATTTCTGCTCCTGATGCTTCTTGTATTGAATCAGATGCCAACTCCTCAGACAATTGTCTTGATCATGCTGTCTCTGAGCAGCAACTTGATACACTGACTAAGAAAGTGCAGAATTCTGCATTGCCATCATGTTCTAGAATTTCTGCTCCTGATGCTTCTTGTATTGAATCAGATGCCAACTCCTCAGACAATTGTCTTGATCATGCTGTCGCTGGGGAAGTTGAATCAGACGAGAAATGTTTACATACAGAAGTACTGCATGTCTCTCCCCATGACGTGTCTGATTCATCAGATACTACTCAATTGCTCTCAGGTCTTGTAGTTTCAGCTCCTCAGTTTCCTGATGGTGAGGATGAAGAAGATAATGCATCAGGACAAGAAATGAATTCTTCAAATGATAAAGGAAAGCAGTCAATTGATGATGCTTTATCCTCCGCATTAGCTAATTTTTTATCGTCTTTAGAGTCTCCAGAGTATACGAAAATTCTAACTGTTAAAGCCCCAGACTTTTCCAATGAAAATGATGAAGACCATGAGAGCAATAATGAAATAGTGAAAATTGACTCAGATCATCTCATGGACAGCGAGAAAATTAATCACATCCAAGTCTTGGCTTTGTCTGATATTTCTTTGGAAAGTGGAGAGGAGGTGAATAGAGATTGTAATGATAAACACTCTGAAGAGACTGCCCAGGAAGCTGAGGAATATGACCAATTCCGCATTGCAGAAGGAGATCAAGATCAGGTGTGTGCTGAAGTCAGTATTTTAGATGAACATAATCCAGGAACAGGTTTCAATAACAACGATGAAGAAGACGAAAACGGAAAAATCAATGGTCAGAAAAGTGATGGTTTGTTGTCCAATGTAAGTGAGATCTCAAATGAGTTGCTTGACAATCAGACCCCCGATGGTTATAGTATTACTCAGGAAGGACCATCGACAAGGACTGACCTTACAGTTGCAACAGAGGTCCCAGAAAAAGCCTCCGTTGAGAACATTATAGAGAATGTTCTTGGATTTTCGCTTGCTTCCTCCGTAGTAGATTTTGAAATCCCACTCTTGGATGTAAAATTCAATTCTCAGAGAAGTCCTGTTGGTGAGCATTTCCTTGAAGCTCTTCTGGGTGAGACGCCAGAGACCAGCTCAAGAGATCCATCAGTCAAGGAAAGCAGTGATGATCTTCCCGTTAAGGAACAATTGAAAAGCATTGATGATCTCTCATTTGAGGAGCAAAGACTACAGCACTTGAGAAATCCGGCTTCTGTCAAAGAAAAGTCCTTGATTGAAGTAGACAATGGAGAACCGGAGAATCCGGCTAGCGATAGCCATTCTGCTGTGGACAAAGACTACTGTACTTCGATAACTGTACCTGTGAACATCGAGGGTGATAATCAGCCACTGCCAGGGGACCATAAACGCAAGCGTGATCAAATATCTACACCATGTCTCATATGAAGTGGTTTCTTGACCTGTTTCTGTTCATAAACTTTGGATTTGGATTTGGATGTCGATCATATAGGCATTATATAACATAGTTGTTTTCATGAATATGATCTTCGTGCTCCCTTATTTAGATTTTCGAGAGTCAGTAGAAAGTTCTTTGCGTAGAGAGAGTCAATACAAATTACTTCGTAGAAACATGTTGCAGCTGTTCTGAGTTTATGGCGTGGTTGCATGTGAGTAGTAGTAGTATGTATCGATTATCAACTGACAACTGTAAATAGTCAATCACTCCCTGGTTGTACTTGCAGGAGAATTATTCGGAGGTGATATTTTTTTCCTTTTTTACATTAATAGGTAATCAAATAATGAGAATGGTTTTTTTGTTTTGTTTTGTGCATTTGGTGGTTTTTGACGTGTGATGCATTATTAAAATTCTTTGATATATACATTTAAATTTTGTTTAATTAGAGCTACTTTTTGATATATGGCGTTAGAAAATACTTATTCAACTATTATTTTGTTTTGATAATAATGAGTTAGGTCAGTAAGGTTTCATGTGTGAACTATTATTTTGCATTCGTGGGGGTGTTTTTTGTTTTCTCTAAATTTATTACCCACTCAATTGAATAACACCCTAAAAGAAGAAGAGAAAAAGCACACACAAGTTAATGAACAACAATAGTATTATAATAAATTTTGTATTATTCTTACCACAATTTTTTGACGAGCCATTATCATCGCATTAAACGCAAGCCTACTATACCTTCAATCGCATTAAACGCAATCTTATAATCTCTCTTAAGATTTTTTTTTTCTCTTTCAAATATTTTTGTGATTTTAACAATTAAAAGAAAGTGTATATATATATATTATCATGCGATGCCTTTTATTTCCAACAAATCAAGTAGACCTTAATATATATATATTTTTTTGGAGATAAAATCTAGTTATAAATTTTTATAAACCAATTATATATTTCAATATTGAATCTCTTGTTTACATGTTCGTTATTTATCACTAGTCTGGGCCTATCCTAAGCTGAGCTAGGCAATTTCATATTTACGCCCTAAAATTTTTCAATGTAACAATGTCATGTTTAGGTTATGACAACAAACAATCTCGTGTAATTTCGTGATTTATCTGTTGTGTGAAAGACATGTGTGTTGAGGAATTTTCATGTAACACATTTTCTCTACCCAAAGTAGAAAAACTATAAGAAGCGTTAAAATTTAAAGGGTTTTATTAGTCTTTTTTTACCTAAGATAATTATATCTTATATTGTAGAGATAAAATGAGTGGGTCTTCCATTACAAGAAGAAAGAAAAAAAAAATGAGGTGCAAAAATCAAAGTTAGAAAATATGAGAGAAGTTATCTTTATGTGTATGTAAAAGGAGAGTAATATTTTCAAAACTTAAAAACTTAAAAAGTGATATACATAGTGTCAACTTAAGTTTAAAAAATAATTTGGCGAAAGGAAAAGACGCAGAGTGAAAAACAGTCACAAACAAGGGACTATTGACTCGGAAGGAAGAGGTTGTGAGTTGTGAGAGTGAAAAAGGAATTAGGGTTTAGGGTTTGGGGATGGAAGCTGCAGTGGTGGACATTGGGTCGAAGCTCCTGAAAGCTGGTTTTGCAATTCCTGATCAGACTCCCGCCATGGTATATTTCCTCATTTCATTACCCTAATTGTTTCAACCTCCTACTTCAATACCCTTTCATTCTTCTCAATTTTTTTTATATTATAAGAATATAAACCTAAATGCAAACAATTTCTCATTCTCATTTCAACCCTAATTGCTCAACTATTACTACTACTACTACTACTTGTTTGTGCTTTACTCCGTCAAAGGTTAATGTGTTTGTTGACCTTGATGCTCTTGTCATTAGTGGTAGATACTATAGCGAGATACGTTACTTTGGTGTTCGTAACACGCAAGATACTATAGCGAGATACGTTACTTTGGTGTTCGTAACACGCAGTACAATATGTTTTCCCTCTTCTTGTTGTAACTCTCAGAATCCCTAATTCTGCTTCTTTTTTCTTCATGTGACTCAGATAATTCCCACTCAGATGAAACGATTGCTTGATGATGCTTCAGTCACTGATAATTCACTAGTTGATAATGTCACCGTTGATCCAGTGGTCCGAGGGTTTGTCAGAGATTGGGATGCCATTGAGGATTTGTTGAACCATGTTTTATACACTGGCCTCGGATGGGAAATCGGCAATGAAGGACAAATCCTATTTACAGATCCACTTTGTACCCCAAAGGTTTCTGAACCATTTTCCTATACTTTATATTTATCAGGAAAATATTTCTTACCGCAGATAAGTTATCTTCATTTATTCTCAAAACGACGTCGTTTTGAGATTGAAAGATTAAAAAATTATAATTATAAAGACTATAATAACTCTGAAATAAATTAAAATTACAAAAACATCATTATTTCCGCTCCAAAACGACGTCGTATTGGGTTTACTGCAGAAAAAGCGAACCCTATATTTATTCATTCATTCGTAACTTTAAATAATCAAAGGTTTGTTAAATGGTATTGTATTGCCAGTAATAAGTTGATACTCTTGTTTAAATAAATGTGTATTATACAGTTTTTTTTTTCTCTCTTTAAATAATGTATGTATTATTATTTTCCAGGCCAACAAAGAACAGTTAGTGCAACTAATGTTTGAAACATTCAACATATCAGGGTTTTATGCCTCGGAACAGGCAGTGTTATCACTGTATGCTGTGGGACGTATCTCAGGGTGCACTGTTGATATTGGACATGGAAAAATAGGTATCCATACTTGCTGTGTGGGTCTGGCTGTCTGTTTTGATGTGGGATTATGTTATCTCCAGCACATAATCTTGTGGTGTTCATGCAAGTAGGGATCTTTAGGTAACTAGAATCTAATGTTTCTATGTTCTTTATTTTGCTACGGAGTAAAGAAATAATAGTTATGAAGTTTCTTTGTCTTGTCTTAATGATAAATTGAAATACCATATATATTAAAAAAAGTAAATTATTCGTAAGGTTAATCTATATATATCATTTGCTTTTTTTTTTTGCTGATACTTTGTATTTCTTAAACTAAACAATAGAAACATAAGATTAAGGTTAAAGGTATGTTCAATGATTTAAAACTGTCAATTCTTGGTGTGAAGACATATCTTCTTCTTATGTGTGTGTCTGTGTCTGTGTTTTTTTTTTTTTTTCCAATCTTGGTTTTAGATGGTCATTCTGATAATGTTCCTGTAAATATTGCATATGCCATTAAAGTAAATAAATAGATGGCTGAGTGTTGCTCTGCATACGTGAATATGTTATTGAGCATAATGGTTGTTACGTTCAACATGATCATTTTGGTTTTATAACTAGATATTGCTCCGGTAATTGAGGGTGCTGTTCACCACATTGCCTCTAGAAGATTTGAGTTTGGAGGTATTGATCTGACTAATTTCCTGGCTCAAGAACTTGGAAAATCCAATCCACTAGTAAATATCAGCATGTCTGATGTGGAGAAAATAAAAGAGCAATACTCATGCTGTGCTGAAGATGAATTAGCTTATCAGAAGACCAAAAATTCTTGTCCAGTGGAGAAACATACCCTTCCTGATGGACAGGTCTGCTTTTTGGATTTCTTATGATTTTATTATCCTTGATTTTTTTTTTGTTAGCTTTTGATAAGTTCTTCAATAAAGTTGGTACTACTGGAGACAAATTTATACTGAGAGCAAGAGTGGGAAGTAAATGAAAATGGAAAGGGAAGGTGGGGATGAAGGATCAGTAAGGAGAGAGCAGAGCTTTCTATGGATTATTGTGCTTGATTTAAGCATTAGGATTACTGTGATTGATTTAAACAAAGCTTATGAGCAGCATTGAGGTGGTGGTTGAAGTTTGTCACTTTGGAATGCACTCTATTTTCAACTTTTCATGATTTAGCGATTAAAGTCTGATCTTTTTGACTGGTCATGCAGATTTATTTTATTGTGTTATATATGTTAACTAGTTTTTTTGAGGAACCCTTTTGCAACCTCTCTAAAAGCTTAGACTGTTAAACATTGTATCAGAAATTTTCATATTCTGTTAGGACTTAGGAGGGGTGGTGTAGCAGTATTTCCCTCAAAGGTTGTTTGAGCTGGATATCTATCGAATGGGCCAGCAGCTTTTGTCAGGCTGGGCTGACAAAAAATGATCTTATAAATATCTGGACCAGTCCGAAGGTTATTTGAAGGCCAAACAGGCTGGTCCAATGGGCTAAAAACTACCAAATCCCCAACTTTTTTTTTTTCTCATTGCCCGTCAACTGTGTTTTTACATTCTAAGCTTTAACAGTGGATCTTCAATAATTTATAACTTCATCTGAAAGTTAAATTATCTTATAGGTGATAACAATTGAGAGAGAAAGATATACTGTTGGTGAAGCTTTATTCCAGCCATGCCTATTGGGTTTAGAGGCTCATGGCCTTGTTGAACAGCTTGTACGTGCTATTTCAACTGTGTCATCTGATAATCATCGGCAGCTGCTGGAAAATACTGTGGTTTGTGGTGGCACTTCTTCTATGACTGGTAAATTTTTATCTTCACTAATTTTGGGGAATTCAGGATAAGCTTGATGTGAACTTCTAATTTGTTCCTCTTTTTCTTCTTTTTCCCATATAATAATAATGTCCAGATCTTTGGCATGTACAACCATATTTACTAAATGGAAATTTTCTACTTTGACTATAAGGGGTCCTTTTTTTTTTTTCTTTTGAATTGGAGTACAGTACAACATAATATTGGACCATTAAATTTCTTAATTTGTCATTAGTAACCTGGATAGCAACAAAGAAAGTTTGTAATTTAGTAAATTTTGATGCGGAATAATGTGTCAGACAGGGTAGATTTTGATAGAAACTTATTCTCAAATTACATTAACTGGGAACTAGACAACAGGAGTTACAGAAAAACAAAAAAGACAAAAAACATTACACAGGTCATTCAAGAGACCTTTAACCATGCATTCAATCCCACACTCAATCTGCTCGACAAGATGGGGTCATCACATAACATTCTGACATCTTATTATGAGGAAGCTGTTACTTGTGAGTTCTTACTTCTGACAGGCTAATGCTGCTTCTACTGCAGGTTTTGAAGAGAGATTTCAGAAGGAATCTAGCTTAAGTTCATCTGCTGTTCAACCTACCTTGGTTAAGGTAATTTGGTTATCTTGTAAAGCACCTAAATTCAAATAATAATAACTTGGGGAAAATTCCAAGGCTTCCTGACTTTACAAGGGCAGGGGTGAGGGTCCATTATATGCAGCATTCCCTCGTCTGTACCCTCGGACTAAATTGATTGTTATAAATAAACAGTTTCTTAAACTTTCTCTTTTGTAAATCTTAATATCAAAACCTTTACAAGAGAAAAAAGGTGGTTGCCTCTGGTACATGAATAACATTAAAACTGCAAAAATAGTATAATTGTTCATGTTTTAATTTATCTTTCCTCTGGTTGATAATCTCTGGATTAATGCAGCCTCCAGAATACATGCCAGAAAATTTAACCATGTATTCTGCATGGGTGGGAGGTGCCATACTTGCCAAAGTAGTTTTCCCTCAAAATCAGCATATAACTAAGGCAGATTATGATGAAACTGGACCTTCCATTGTCCACCGCAAATGCTTCTGACAGTATTCATCTGAATCTTTTTCTGCACGAGTACCTAGATTCGGGTAGACGATGACTAAATCACATGTACGTGTATGTTGGAGCATTTAGGAGCTTGCATATCTTTGTAATATGAATAGCCCTGTAATATATTCATTTTGGCCCTTTGGAACCTTGGGGCTAGATCTCTACTCGCGTTCCCTTTTGTACCCCTTTTTAAAAAGTAGTTCCTGACTTGTGCTTTAGTTTATGGATTAGTAATTATTGTTTTATGAATTTATTGTTTCTCATGTTGTAGGAAATAAACTTATTTTCTACAGACATGTAAAAATGTGCGGGAACCATGTTTTATCTTTCTCTCCTCACATGGGTCCACATGTGCTCCATGTAATAGATAAAATTTATTTTTTATAATACGAGAAACATTAATCCCTTGTTTTATTTCTAAATTTTTTAAACTTTCTCCTGCAACCAATTTTTCTATTCTTAGGTCCGAAAATTGAGATGCCAGAATTTTTGCCGCCTGAACCTTGAAATTGATATACCTTTGGAGTTGCATAAAAACATCTGCAGGAGGTTATGACATTATTAAATGGTTTTATCCTGTAATTAGCAGGGATCCTTCTTACAACGAAGTTGGGTTGCATTGGAGTACTTTGATGTCATTGCGCATCACATTAAAAATAGAGGGCAAGCGGGTGAGGTTCTTAACCCTTCCATAACAATCCCCAAACTGAAAAAATAATCATAGTTAAGAACAAATCATAATTAAGAATATCATTAATTAATGAGAGTCGATGGATCTTTCAGTGTATAGCGTAAAAGTACAATGACAAACTTATTTTATTAAGAGGTTGAAATGTTCGAGAATAGAAGCAAGCAATTTGTATTTAAATACAAAGTAGAATGACAAAGGTATTGACACAAATTCCATGACCGAATCATGAATTTATTGACATCACATTAGGTATTCTTCTCAAAAGACCAACAAATCTGTGTGTTAATGCGAAACATGAGTTGTGGAATCATCAACTGGGTGCCAGTATCTGTTGAAAAACCAAAGAGAATCAGCTTCCACAGCATATCCATCTTGATTTCGGTGCCAGCTATAGTGAGCATGTGTTCGGTTCTTTATGTCAAGAATGGCGTGTCCAAAGCTGGCCTCTCTGTATGCAGAGTAATCTGGCTGTGGTTCTGTCATGCTGCAGATCAAATGATGTTTGTATCAGTCTTAGCTGCATAAAACTAAACAGAAAAGCAATAAACTCATCAAGTTCTATGTATAGAGCTTACTTGTTTGCTAAGCCTTCAATGTTTCCTCCATCTCCAATGGTTACATATACAGGAGCTGACTGATCCTTAACAGGAGTGCAAAGGCCATTTACAACCTTGTATGCAATATTCGAGATACGCTCCTGATACATAGACAAATCAGTGTCACGGGAAGTAAATACAAAAATCTATTTTGGGGAATAAATTTAATAGCCCAGCATTTAGGTACAAATTCAAGAAGGGGTTAATGTTTCTCATGTTGCAGGAGATAAAATTTATCTCCAACATTCACATAAATGTGTGTGAGACCCATATGAGAAGAAGAGAGAGAAAGAGAAAATATGGGTCCCACACACTTTTATATGTGTATAGAAGATAAATTTATTTCCTACAACAACATGAGAAACAATAAATCCAAAAGATTGTTGAAGTATACTATTTGTGCAATATTTTTGTAGTTTATTTCCCTCAAATTTTCATGGACAACCCTTACATTTAGTGGTACAGTTATGTTTTCAAATTTGAAGGCAAGCCTAAGGATACATGCTTGATACCGGTGGTTTTTAGAAGCATGATGTAAAAATTTCAAATGAGGAATTGAAGTGTTAAAGTAGCTTAACAAGCAGAGTTTTAGCACTTACAGATCGTTCGTAGGCATGAACATGACCAGCAAACACAATATCAACCTTATACTGAACAAACCAGGACTCAAACATAACTCTCATTGTTTCCCCTTCCATATAATGATAATTGTAGCTATTATACCAAGGTGAATGCATGAGAACAATCAACCAAGGAGTCTCTGTCCTGTTAACTTTTGGTAGCTCTTGTTGAAGCCAATTGTATTGGGGCGTATATTTTCCTGAAAAGAAAAAATGAAGATTATTATACCAAAAGACATACAACTTTAAAATCACCATATTACAGTTTATGTATGCATTTAATCCAACATGTAACAGAGTGGCATAGCAAAGCAATTAGTTAGTTAGTTGTGATATAACTAAAAAAAGCTTGTAATTCATCTAACTAACCCTACCTATGAGGGAAATGTGATAGAGGCAGGGGAATGGGATTTAGGAGGCTTCCAGATGCAGAATTTGAAAATGTGAGGAAAGGTGTGTGCTTCAGATGTGATGAAGATTCAAAGGTATACCCCTGGGAGGCATGATCATGCCATTGTGCTTAAAGAAGTGTCAATCATCCCAATTCTGAGACCTTACAAGTACCCCTCATTATCATAAAACTGAGAAAGAAAAGCTGGTGGATGAAATGTTGAAGTGAGGGCCAGAGCAATCCTATTTTCTGGAGTTACGAGATGCAGAGAGAGACATTTCTTGTAATTCATCTATCAATCCCTACCTATGAGATTCAATTATGGTCTTAAGGGAGAGATTCTCTCAATTAAATTCTGATTCTTTCCCAATTTTTCTTGCAGTATGAACTGTTTCTATCAACATGTTGGTCATTTAAGGTAAGAGTGTAAAGAACCATTTCAACCCAGAAGTTTAAGTTGTTCGGTAAGACTACATTAATGATTTTATATTTCTCTAACACCCCCCCTCACACGAGATTCCATTAAGCTAAAAGGGTGGATGATGTATTAGACCCAGCCTACCTGTGCTAAGAAACTATATAATATTTAATTATTTTTATTAATAGAATGGGGGATGAGGATCAAACTTGTGACCACTTAGTCACCGAGACTCTGATACCTTGTAAAAATTATTTCAACCCAAAAACTTGCCAAGGATTTAGGACATTTATATGCTGATTTAGATAAACAGAAAATTCCACATGGAAGACATATATAGAATTATTCATCTAACAAAGCTCTATGGGTAGAGAATAGAAATTACTCAGTAGAATTTGATGGTTTATAAGTTATATAATTAATTGCTATTGTGAAATTATGACAAGCAGAAATGTGGCCATCAAAAACCATAGCATCACCATTTCTTGTAATTCATCTATCAATCCCTACCTATGAGATTCAATTCTGGTCTTAAGGGAGTGGTTCTCTCAATTAAATTCTGATTCTTTCTCAACTTTTCTTGCAGTATGAACTGTTTCTATCAACATGTTGGTCATTTAAGGTAAGAGTGTAAAGAACCATTTCAACCCAGAAGTTTAAGTTGTTCGGTAAGACTACATTAATGATTTTATATTTCTCTAACACCCCCCCTCACACGAGATTCCATTAAGCTAAAAGGGTGGATGATGTATTAGACCCAGCCTACCTGTGCTAAGAAACTATATAATATTTAATTATTTTTATTAATAGAATGGGGGATGAGGATCAAACTTGTGACCACTTAGTCACCGAGGCTCTGATACCTTGTAAAAATTATTTCAACCCAAAAACTTGCCAAGGATTTAGGACATTTATATGCTGATTTAGATAAACAGAAAATTCCACATGGAAGACATATATAGAATTATTCATCTAACAAAGCTCTATGGGTAGAGAATAGAAATTACTCAGTAGAATTTGATGGTTTATAAGTTATATAATTAATTGCTATTGTGAAATTATGACAAGCAGAAATGTGGCCATCAAAAACCATAGCATCACCATTTCTTGTAATTCATCTATCAATCCCTACCTATGAGATTCAATTCTGGTCTTAAGGGAGTGGTTCTCTCAATTAAATTCTGATTCTTTCTCAACTTTTCTTGCAGTATGAACTGTTTCTATCAACATGTTGGTCATTTAAGGTAAGAGTGTAAAGAACCATTTTAACCCAGAAGTTTAAGTTGTTGGGTAAGACTACATTAATGATTTTATATTTCTCTAACATCCCCCCTCACACGAGATTCTATTAGGCTAAAAAGGTGGATGATGTATCAGACCCAGCCTACCTGTGCTAAGAAACTATATAATATTTAATTATTTTTATTAATTGAATGGGGGATGAGGATCAAACTTGTGACCACTTAGTCACCGAGGCTCTGATACCTTTTAAAAAATCATTTCAACCCAAAAACTTGCCAAGGATTTAGGACATTTATATGATGATTTAGATAAACAGAAAATTCCACATGGAAGACATATATAGAATCATTCATATGATGAAGCTCTATGGGTAGAGAATAGAAATTATTCAGTAGAATTTGATGGTTTATAAGTTATATAGTTGATTGCTATTGTGAAACAATGACAAGCAGAAATGTGGCCATCATAAACCATAGCATCAACCAAAGTGCTCTTAACATATGTATCATGCAAAAGAGGTATCTAGCATTACCATATGCTGAATATGAGGCCAAGACAATGATGTGTGCTGAAGCTCTCTTGATAGAATACCAGAAGGGTGCAGTACTCTGAGATGCTCTATAAGGAACATGGTAACGGTGGGTAAAAGGCTTGAAAGGTATGATTTCACCCTGCAACAAATCACGAATCTTTGTTAAAAATCTACTTCTTACTAATATTTGGACTTGGAAAATGCATTACACGAAGGATAAAATCAATTGTTGAAAAACAAAATAATGAAAAAAGTTTCTCAAACAGTTAAAACCAAATTAAATCAATTCTTATGAGAAGCTTACAATTTCTGGAGCAAAATCAATTTCATGGTTCCCTGCAGTCCATATCCATGGCTGATAAGCAGCACTCCTTTCTGTGAACCTTCCCCAAGTATCCCACCTAACGTTATCATGATTTGGGTAGTCATCCGCATAAGAGAGGTCTCCAACAAACAGCACAGTTTGTCCTTTTCTTGGGTTCATTTCATAGTGAGAAAGCGTCTTATTTGAATCAAAAGTCTGACCAAGATCCCCTACAAATAATGCCACATCAGTTAATGACAAACATCAATGACCAATTGGGACACAGACATATTGCATTGTTCCTAAATTCATGATGAATGTTCAACGGTTAACCGCCGCAAAGACCAAATAGCTGCTACAATTATGAGGGTAAAGATATATAAATCTTGCCTTAAAAAACGGAATCATTTATTTTCTTGGCCATTCCCATATGCTAACAACCATAGGAGACTCCAACCAATCAATGCACGGTGAAATTAAGAAACCACCAACTTATAAGACAACTGATAAATGTGAACATGTTTGTACCACAATGATAGCGCATAAAGCAACACCGGATTACTTTGATAGAATACACTTACCTATGAGACCAAATGTGTATGGCACATCAGGACCAACTTCAGGTGGAGTTATAAACCAAAACTGCCTTGTTGTGTTCCCAAGTCCAACCTCATAGTGATATTTGGTGTTGTGCTGACCAATAAGAAGCACATATATCAACAATTGATTCATAAAGCAAATGCCCTTTTTGTTATCTTTCAGAAGCTTCTACATTGGCAGTGAAACAACATAACAATGAAGAAATGGAATAGAGCAATACCTTCAAATTTTTGATGGTGGTGTGATGAATAAAACCAGATGAGTAATTGAAGAATCTGTAAGTAACAATTCTTCCTGTAGCTAGCTTCTTGTGCTTGCTTTTCTCACGCCAGTAACGCACTAATCTCGAGCCTGGTTCATCCTCCGTCACCCATGACACGATCACTGCTTTCCCCACTTGGTCACCTTGTGTTATATGAACCTTAACGCAGAGCAACCACACATTAAAACTGAGAGTCTAAAAGTAAGAAATAAGAAAAAGCTACTTGTTTTCAAATCAAACAAAGGAAAAGTTCTAAAAAGTAAAACAAAAGAGATGCAAAAATGTTGAACTGAAAAAGGTATTTGGTTAATGGTGTAAAGAACCACTTCAACCAAATGGATGAGGGATATTTTAATGGTTTATATTATTCTCTAATACACCTCCTCACGCGAGAGCTCTTTGGGCTTGAAGCGTGGATTATTGCGTAGGCTCAATTTTTGGTTTACCTTATGCTTATTTAATTCCACAAGTGGAGGGTGGTGAAGATCGAACTTGTGACCTTGTGGTCACTGAAGCTCTGATACCATGTAAAAAATCACTTCAACCTAAAACCTTAAGGTTTTGGGTGAGGGCATTTTTAATGGTTTATATTATTCTCTAACAAATGGCAAGCGGTTAATCAAGTCATTCAAACTAGAAAATGACTTGATTAACTAATCATCACTCACCACTTCCCTCTCTTATCTTAGCTTCACTTTTGAACAATCCTTCATGAAACAAATAAAGGTACAAAAATATACAACGATCCCTGGATCATTTCAAAATAAAAAATCAGCAGGAAAACGTGTAATGAATTTCCAATATGAGACAATCAATGAGGAATGATGTCATAGAGAAAGAAGATAAAGGGGAGGCAGAAAGGTACCTGTTGGGGAGCATTATAACCAGAAGGGACAGCAAATGCATCACTATCAAGTGGCATATCCACAGGCTTCTCGACTGTCCTAACATAGGAGCTGGTTATGCCTCCATTACACAACACAGCCACATTCAGAACAAAAACTAATACTAAAACACATTCAGAACCAAGAAGACCCATTTTCTCAAACTCCAAGACCCTGCTAATCCAGGTCCTACAACTTATGAATCCCTATGCCAATATATATATATATATATATATATATATATATATATATATATTTATTTATTTATAGATGTAAATGGAACTGTTAATGGCATAATATGAGGAATATTCAGATTAGAGGTCAACGAAACAGAGCTTCCTTGAAGCTAGCCTCATCATCCATCGTTTTCTTTGAACACAAGTAACGGTTCAGTTTAATACTTTAAGTCAGTAGTCTTTGGTTTCAGTTCAGAGCAGGCGAAGCTCAATGATAATATTATAATGATGGTTGAAAAGTTGACTTTGATTTTAGTACTTTATTGTGTCGCATTGCATAGAACTCATCTGGGCAGCTGTATTCAGACCATGTAAACATTATTTTTGGGTTGATATTATTTCTTGCATTTGTTTTCTGGTTGATATTATTAACATTATTTTTGGGTTGATCTTATAATTTTATTTCTAGATGCAAGGAGAAGCTAGCATGCCTAATTTAAAATGCATCTAGTACTAGTAACAAACTGGATTGTTAGCATAATGCCCTTATATAAATGTATTGTATTGGGTGTCATTTGTCTATTATTTTGCTGAGTTAGGATATTCTTACTATCCATTTTTTTTACTACCACTTCACTACCACTTTAATCACCATTGGATTAGAGGAAAAGTTGAATGAAGAGAGAGAGAAAAAAATAACTTTTGAATCCAATGGTGATTAAAGTGGTAATGGAGTGGTAGTAGAAAAAATTGATAGTAAGAATATCCTATCTCTATTTTGTAAACCCTCTTGGCCAAAACTTAATCTTCAAAATTGAGCCTCGGTTTGAATAATGGACAGTTACAAGCCCTTTGAGTTTTTTTAGTGCCTAATCTAATCTTGTTCAGCGTGTTGTCTATTTTGTGTGCAATAAAGTTGAGATAACTAATGAATAGGATTTATTGGTGGTCAAAATTTTGTAGCTTGATTTAGTTAGTGAATAATAAAAAAATTTATTATCCTTCTTTGAGTCATCTTTTATTCAGTTGGAATATATGATGGTGTCCCACATTTCAATGTTCTATATTTTATTATAATTTTCACAGGGAATTGTTTTTTTAAAAAATATTTTACTATGTTTATGCTGACAATTTAAACGAGAAGTTCAGGTTGCCAATCAAATTCAATAATACACCCAAATCCTAAACTCTTCTGCATTCACATGTACTTAAGCAAGAGAAAAGAGGAAATGGATGATAAAAGAGCAAAAATCTTGATGCACAAAGCAAATAGAGCTAGAAGGTTAAAATAAAAATAAAATAAAAACAGAATCCCGTGGAATAAATATTCTATTCAATATCAGCTTCCCTTTTCAACAATCCTCAACTGTTAAATTCATGGCGAGCTAAGGGTAGCAGTTTAAGATTTATCTTATTTACTTCAAAATGAAGGCCAAAATGCTACTGTACCAAAGTATTTTGCAAAGCATTTCTACTTAGATGATGCATTTGACAAGTTGTGTTTTATCAGTGTTTATGCAGTGCTATCCAAAATGATGAGAGAATAGCGTTTGAGAATAGAAGCAAGCAATTTGTATTTATATGACAGAGATACAAATTGGAATGAAAAAGGTACTGATAATCAATGTTGATGGTATTGACATACATTCCATTACGGAATCATGAATTTATTGACATTGTATTGTGTATTTTCTCAAAAGAACCAGTAAATCAATGTGTTAAGTGAGTTGCAGAATCATCAACTGGATGCCAGTATCTGTTGAAAAACCAAAGGGAATCAGCCTCCACAGCATATCCATCTTGATTTCGGTGCCAGCTATAATGAGCATGTGTTCTGTTCTTTATGTCAAAAATTGCATGTCCAAAGCTGGCCTCTCTGTATGCTGAGTACTCTGGCTGTGGTTCCGTCATGCTGCAGCTCAAATGGCGTTTCTATCAGTCTTAGTTGCATAAAACTAACCAGAAAAGCAATACACTCATCAAGTTTTACGTATAGAACTTACTTGGTTGCCAAGCCTTCAAGGTTTCCTCCATCCCCAATGGTTATATATACAGGAGCTGATTGATCTTTTACAGCAGTGCAAAGACCATTTACCACATTGTATGCAACATTCGATATACGCTCCTAATACATAGACAAATCAGTGTCATTGGAAGTAAGCACAAAAATCTATTTTTGGGAGGAAATATAATAGCCCATCATCTATCAGCTACAAAATCTACTTTGTGCAATATTTCTGGAGTTTGTTTCCCTCGTAAAATTTTATGGACAACATCAACATTTACTTGCATAGCTATCTTTTAAAGTTTGAATGCTAGCTGAACGATACATGATTGATAATCGTGGTCAAAAGCAAGATGTAAAAATTTCAAATGGGGAAGTTAAGCGTCAAGTATCTTAATAAGTCAAGTTTTAGCCCTTACAGATCGTTCATAGGCATGAACATGACCGGCAAACACCACATCAACCTTGTACTGCACAAACCAGGGCTCATACATTACTCTCATTGTTTCCCCTTCCATATAATGATAATTGTAGCTATTATACCAAGGTGAATGCATGAGAACAATCAACCAAGGAGTCTCTGTCCTGTTAACTTTTGGTAGCTCTTGTTCAAGCCATTTGTATTGGGGTGTATATTTTCCTGAAGAAAATGAAGATTATTATACCAAAAGAGATATTACTTTAAAAGCATCAACATTAGAGTTTATGTATGCATTTAATAAAAGCAGCAACAGACTGGCAGAACAAAGCAATTTATGTTTACACACACCCCCACACACACAGAGAGAGAGAGAGAGAGAGGTATCTCTTCAGTTTTTCAAATAGTTAAGTCATTTAAGGTAAGTATTGTAGGCCAAGGATTTAAGACACCTATGTGATGATTTAGATAAACAGACCATTCCACATGGAAGTTATATATAAAATTATCATCTGCAGAAGCTCTATCAGAATTTGATGCTTTATAAGTTATATGCAATCCTTTTGCGAAATTATTACATTCAGAGTTGTTTCCATCATAAATCACAGAATCAGTCGAAAGAGTTCTGTACTTAAGTATGTATCATGCAAAAGAGGTATCTAGCATTACCATATGCTGAATATGAGGCCAAGACAATGATGTGTGCTGAAGCTCTCTTGATAGAATACCAAAAGGGTCCTGTACTCTGTGATGCTCTATAAGGAACATGGTAACGGTGGGAATAAGGCTTGAAAGGTTTGGTTTCACCCTGCAACAAATCACGGATCTATTGTAAAAACATCTTACTAAAATTTGGACTTGGTAAAAGCATTACATGAAGGTTAGAGTTCATTGCTGAAAACCAAAAGAATGAAAGAGTTTCTCCAACAGTTATAACCAAATTGAATTAATTCTTATTAGAAGCTTACAATTTCTGGAGCAAAATCAATTTCATGGTTCCCTGCAGTCCATATCCATGGCTGATAAGCAACACTCCTTTCTGCGAACCTTCCCCAAGTATCCCACCTAACGTTATCATGATTTGGGTAGTTGTCAGCATAAGAGAGGTCTCCAACAAACAGCACAGTTTGTCCTTTTCTTGGGTTCATTTCATAATGAGAAAGTGTCTTATTTGAATCAAAACTCTGACCAAGATCCCCTGCAAATAATGCTACACTAGTTAGTGACAAACATATTGACCTATTGGAACACAGACAAATTGCATTTTTCTTAAATTCATGATGAATGTTCAATGGTTCACCGACGAAAGGACTACTATGTATATCTGAATTAAGAGTGAAAGGATATATACATATTGGGTGAAAGATGAAATTATTTATTTTCTTGGCCATTCCCATATGCTAACAACCATAGGAGACTCTAACCACCTAATGCAGGGCAAAATTAAGAAACCATCAACTTCTAAGACAACTGATAAATGTGAACATGTTTGTACCAAAATGATAGCTCATAAAGCAACACGGGATTACTTTGATAGAATACACTTACCTATGAGACCAAATGTGTATGGCACATCAGGACCAACTTCAGGTGGAGTTATGAACCAAAACTGCCTTGTTGTGTTCCCAAGTCCAACCTCATAGTGATATTTGGTGTTATACTGTCCAAAAAGAAGCTCATATTTTCAACAATTGATTCTTCATAAAGAAAATGCCCTTATTCTTTTCTTTTAGAACTTCTAACTTGGCATCCGGATGAGAAACAACATAACAAGGAAGTAATGGAATAGAGCAGTACCTCCAAATTTCTGATGGTGGCGTGATGAATAAAACCAGAAGTGTAATTGAAGAATCTATAAGTAACAATTTTCCCTTTAGCTAGCTTCTTTTGCTTGCTGTTCTCACTCCAGTAACGCACTAATCTTGACCCTGGTTCATCCTCAGTCACCCATGACACGATCACAGCTTTCCCAACTTGGTCACCTTGTGTTATATGAACCTTAATGCAGAGCAACCATACATCAAAACTTTGAGACTTAAAAGTAAGAAAAAAGAAAAAAGAAAACTATTTTGTTTGCAATTAGCATACATTAATTCATATCAATAATGGGAAAATTCCTAAAAAGTAAAAAAAGCAATCCTACATGAATTAAATTAAGCTACAAAAATATACAATGATCCCTAGGTCATTTCAAAATTAAAAAAGCAGCATGGAAACCTATAAAGAAATATACCCATATGAGACAAATTCATAAGGAATGATGATGTCATAGACAAAGAAGATAGATAAAGATAAAGGTACCTGCTGGGGAGCATTATAACCCGGAGGGACGGCAAAAACATCGCTATCAAGTGGCATATCCATAGTTTTCTCAACTTTCCTAACGAAGGTGCTGGTCTTGCCTCCATTGCACAGCACAACCACATTCAGAACCAAAGCTAATGTTAAAAAATAAGGGAAACCCATTAGACCCATTTTCCTCAAACTCATCAACCTCAATCCCACACTTTGTTGCTCTTGTCTTGTGTATTTATTCATTCATGTGAATGCAACTTTTAATGGCATATTATGGGAATATTCAGATTAAGAGGAGTCAACGAAATTGCGTGTCCGTGATGGAGAGCTTTCTAGCAGTATACATCGTTTTCTTCGAAGACAATATTAAAACACTTTCAGTTTACGGAAAAATGCGAAGACTGTAACCTCTCTGAGTCAATAGTTTTGGCTTCAGTTGAGGCGAAGCACAGTAATAATAATAAAATAAGGAAATGGATCCTCTCGGAATGGGAAGATCACAATCATACAAACGTAAATCAACGGTTATGATCTTGTAACTACTTATTTTAATATTTTTTTCTCTCCTCCTTTATTACCATTGATCTACCTTTATATGATTATGATTCCTCACATGACATGATCATGTAAATTTTCACATCAGAGGATCCTGATACATAAAATAATGGATGCAAAAATGATTGCGAAAAAGTTGACCTTGACTTTAATAATTTTAATTCTGTGGCGTTGCATAAAATTCATCGTATTCAGACCATGTAATTCATTTACATTCTTTTGTCTTTTTTTTTCTTGTTGGTATTATTATTATTATTATTTTTGGGATAATATATTATGATTTTATTTCTAGATTAACGTCAAGTCGTATTTATTTATTTATTTTTGGATCCAGGGAGAAGCAAACGTGATGGAATATGGGCCATTCATCTATTATTTTGTAAGCCTCTTTGATCAACACTTATCTATTGCTTTGAATTGAGCCTCGATCTGAATAATGGACAATCACAAGCCCTTTGAGTTTTTATACTTTTTTTTTAATGTCTATTTTATTTGGGTGGATTCTCATATCTTATTTAACATGCATGATATGATCATGTGAGAGAATTTTAAGGTAAATGAAATGATAATGATTTTGAGATTATTTATTGTAATATGTTTTTTCCTTTCTCTTTCTTTATTACTATCCATTCACTTTTTATATGATTACGATTAGGGGTGAAACTGGGTCGGGCCGACTTACAGGGGCCTACGGCTCGGCCTACATTAGGCTAGACTTGACCTAGTATATTTTGTATAATAGGTCGGGCTCAGGCCTTAAAAAAGCCTGTTTAATAAAAAGGCCGTAGGCCCACTTTCAAAATGCCGAGCCTAGAAGTCTACAGGCCGGCCTATATTGTACTATTTATTTTAAATAAAATAAAATAAAATAGAGTAAGTATGCCTTAAAGAAAAAAAAAGATATAAATTTAATCAATTGCAATTATTTATAACTTAATCATATTCGATTATATTTTAATAGAAATCTTACTTTATTTCTTATATAGGAGGAACCAACATTTCAACATGTTAGATTGTGTATATGAATATATTAAAAAAAATTTGGCAGAGGTTATACTTACTACAAGCATCATGATATGCTTGTTGGATTCACGTAGTTATTTTAATTTACATAGTAAGGATTTGTTTGTTGGATCTGATAAAATATATGTTATTTAATTTGAGCATTTTGCTTTTGAAAATGACTTAAATGCATATTGTATTAGTTTTGTTATGATTCATGATTCTGTTTGGACGTTGAAATTATGATTTTTGGTATAGCAACAGAATTTGAGTACTTTGTAAAGTTGATTCATGGTTCTGTTTGGAAGTTAAAAATTAACAGGCTAACGGGACAAGCCAGACCATTTGTTTTTTTCATAAACGGGTCAAACCAGGCTAACAGTTAGACTAATACTAGGCTTGGGCCGGGCCAAATTGAAATTTTTTGACGTAGGCTTGGACTTTTCGGAGCAAAGCTCGGCCCAACCCAGCCCACTTTCACCCCTAATTACGATTCTTTCACATGACAATGTCCTATTTTATTTAATATTAGAGGCTGCATTTTTTTCTCTCTCTTTTATTTTTATATTACCTGTAAGCTGTAAGCTGCTTGTAGATTTAGCCATTTAAGGAGCGTTTGGTAGAGAAAATATATATTTTTTTATCAGGGAAAAAAGATTTCTGGAAATATAGTAAATTTTTTTTCTCAGATAAATTAAGAAAATGTATTTGGTAGTTACTAGAAGCTTATGCAATGCTGGGCTGACAAAAACGGTCTTATAAATATCTGGACCAATCCAAAGGTTTTTCAGCCCAAATAGGCTGGCCCGATGGGCCAAAAACTGCCAAATTCCCTAATCATGAATTTATTGGCATTACAATGGGTATTATTACCAAAGGATCAGTAAATCTCTTCTATGTATTATTAATGTGAAAGGTGAGTTGCAAAATCATCCTATCCATTGAAAAATCAAACAGAATCAGCCTCCACAGCATATGCTTCTCGGAATGGCATGTGCTTCCCGGAATGCTGAGTACTCTTGCTATGTCATGCTGCGGTTCAAATGAAATTTATATCAAACTTAGTTGCATTAAAGTAACTAGAAAGGGTCAGGGTCATTTTACACCAGTGCAAGTTACACTCTCAATCTTGTCCATTGATTCCACTTATATCTAACGACTCTAATTTTTTAGTAAAGTGAGCCATTAGATACAAGTAGATCAATGATCAAGATTGAGTGTAAGACTTCTAATTCTTACATTGGTGTAAGAATATCCTGCCGCAACTAGAAATGCAATAAGAATAATCATCATGTTGTACCTATAAAAGTAAAATGTGAAAACGTACTTTATTGACACACATTCCATTACCGAATCATGAATTTTTTTGACATCACCACATTAATGGGAAGCGTGAGTTGTGGAATCATCAACTGGGTGCCAGTATCTGTTGAAAAACCAAAGAGAATCAGCTTCCACAGCATATCCATCTTGATTTCGGTGCCAGCTATAGTGAGCATGTGTTCGGTTCTTTATGTCAAGAATGGCGTGTCCAAAGCTGGCCTCTCTGAATGCTGAGTAATCTGGCTGTGGTTCTGTCATGCTGCAGTTCAAATGATGTTTGTATCAGCCTAAGCTGCATAGGAGTAACCAGAAAAGTAATATAGAGCTTACTTGGCGGCCAAGCCTTCAAGGTTTCCTCCATCCCCTATGTTTACATATACAGGAGCTGATTGATCTTTAACCGGAGTGCAAAGACCATTTACAACATTGTATGCAACATTTGAGACACGCTCCTGTTACATACAGAAGCAAGATTGATACTGGTGGTTTTCAGAAGCAAAATGTAAAAATTTCAAATGAGGAATTAAAGTGTTAAGTAACTTAAGAAGCTGGGTTTTAAGCCACTAGGATTGATCTAGTGGTGAAGAATTTGGGTAATTTGCATAAGTTCATAGGTTTAAATTTCAGTGCCATCATTATATAAAAAAAGAAGCTGGGTTTTAGGACATACAGATCGTTCGTAGGCATGAACATGACCAGCAAACACAACATCAACCTTGTAATGCACAAACCATGGCTCAAACATTACTCTCATTGTTTCCCCTTCCATAAAATGATAACTGTTGCTATTATACCAAGGTGAATGATTGAGAACAATCAACCAAGGAGTCTCTGTCCTGTTAACTTTTGGTAGCTCCTGTTCAAGCCAATTGTATTGGGGTGTATATTTTCCTGAAAAATAAAATAAATTAAAATGAAGATTATTATACCAAAAGAGATATTACTTTAAAAGCATCAATATTACAGTTTATGTATGTAACATCCCAAGCACTGATGAGGGCGGGGAGTGATCGCCGGTGCAAAGAGGCTTGGACAAGGAGCGGCTCCTGACAGGCTTCCAGTGCGGGGTTACATGCACGAATGAATCGAATCGACACCCGAAAGAGAGGGATTCCAAAGACTGTGTAGGTATGAGACTGCACAATTTGGGGTAGCTTATAAGAATTAATTGGTACTACCTATACTAACAAGATGCATCTGCTTTTCGGTAGCCCGGATCGGAAGAACTCCACAGTTAAGCGTGCTTGACTTGGAGTAATTCTGGGATGAGTGACCTACTGGGAAGTTTACCCGGGAAGTGTGCGAGTGAGGAAAAAGTACACTAAAAAGTCTCGTGTTAATATGTGGGGATAGTCATTGATTCTTGAAGCGGTCGGATGTTACAATGTATGCATTTAATCCAAGCAGAAATAGGTTTGTATGTTGATACACACAAGAGAGAGAGGAGATATCTCTTCAGTTTTTCAAACATGTGAGTCACTTAAGTGTTGTAGGCCAAGGGTTTAGGACACCTTTATCATGATTTGAATAAACACACATGGGAGATATTTATAGAATATAATCTGCAGTAGCTCTATAGGTATAGAATTGAAATTATTCAGTAGAATTTGATGCTTTATAAGTTATATGTAATTGCTATTGTAAAATTATTACAAGCAGAAGTGTTCTCCACATAAGTATGTATCATGCAAAGAAGTATGTATCTAGCATTACCATAGGCTGAATATGAGGACAAGACGATGATGTGTGCTGAAGCTCTCTTGATGGAATACCATAACGGTTCAGTACTCTGAGATGCTTTATAAGGGACATGGTAGCGGTGGGTAAAAGGTTTGAAAGGTTTGGTTTCACCCTGCAACAAATGGCCGACCTATGTTAATAACTTACTTGTTACTATAATTTGGACTTGGAAAATGCATTACACGAAGGTTAAAGTTCATTGTTGAAAACATCGAGGATGAAAAAGTTTCTCAAATAGTTACAATGAAATCAAACCAATTCTGATGAGAAGATTACAATTTCTGGAGCATAATCAATTTCATGGTTCCCTGCAGTCCATATCCAAGGTTGATAAGCAACACTCCTTTCTGCGAACCTTCCCCAAGTATCCCACCTAACGTTATCATGATCTGGGTAGTTATCCGCATAAGAGAGGTCTCCAACATACAACACAGCTTTTCCTTTTTTTGGGTTCATTTCATAGTGAGAAAGCGTCTTATTTGAATCAAAACTCTGACCAAGGTCCCCTGCAAATAACGCTACATTAGTTAATAACAAACATAATTGACCTATTGGGATACAGACATATTGCATTGTGATAAGGACCTTCTACTCAAATACAGAAATAACACAAATAACAAAGAGTTTGACCTGAATAATCAGATTTTCATATATTTATTAAAAGATAAGTTAAATCCGGAAATAGTGAAACAGATACAATTACAAAGAAAGGA